TTATAAATCTCCATGAAAATGGCTCCGAAAATTCTCCGCTTTGAAAGTCCCTGGAAGTCCCCTCCACCGCCGCCTTTGTTTGAAGTCCTGCTCCTTGGGCTCCGCAGTTCTGAGTCGCCTGGAGCCTGCGATGCCCAACCATTCGCGATCTGCGGATTTGCGATGGACCAGTGGGTCCTGCCACGCTTTGACGACGGAAAAGGGTTCGGGTCCTTAAAGATACAGCAAGGCAGGCATAGAACACCAATTTTGTGTGATGTTCATCCTTTTTTCTAGAGAAAGCTAAGGCACGCAAGAAGGGGTATCATTGGAAGAGGTTCTGGGTAGATGTGAATATCAGGGAACTGAATGCTTCCGCCAACCGGTTGCTCCCATTTTTCTCCGTTCCCATGGATGTCTGTTCCTCAACATCACCCCAAAAGCAGCCTGTTTCCTGCTGAGTTGTTTGGCTGGGGCGACCCTAAGGCTTCGATATTTGAAGGGATGACCTCGTCGATATTTGGGGCTCTCGTAGAGAAGACGGGAAATCTCACTGACCTTTGAGCAATTTGACATGCCATTGTATGCTACACAAGTAAAAATAGTAAAACTGTCAACTGAAGACTAGACATGTCTAGATATCCTAGTAGAAAGCCTTTGAAAAGATTCAAAAACCTGGAGCGTGCCGGAGTCTTCTCCCAAGAGCTTCCTTCTCCAGATCAGCGAAGAACTGCTCGAAGCCAATAGGAGGTGGATTTTGTTCCAATTTGCTGCCCTTGAAATAGGGAGATGTCGGTGACAGGCCTAACCTGGGTTGTTCTGGGCACAGAACCCATGGGAACCATGGAATTTCATCAAATCTAAACTGCTGGTTTTGCCAAACAAGTCTGAAAAAAAAATAGTGAAGGGTTGATAAAGAAATAATGCCATACAAATGAGTGAAATATCTTCAAATATGCTGCTGCAACATGCTTGGGTTGTAATCACCAAGCAGTCTCACAAAGCCTCACTGCCTCTCAAGCAGCTCTTAGATGCGTTAGGGCCCAGGAATTTGCTGCACTGGTGATGTTGTTTCAGTTTAAAGCCAGTTGGCAGTTCCAAATCATCACAAACTGAGTTGCCGCTCGGGTTTGCGCCCCCAAAGTTTAACATGGAAGCCAAAAATTGCCTAATCAAGGAACAATATATATATTTATTTTTCAGGCCCCATTTGGAGCGGAAATTATTGCTGCCTGTACATGCCGATAGCATGTAAAGCTCCAAAAACAAGGGAACTCTCGGAGATAAATGCATGTACAGTATGCACGTACGCATGTACGCATGGATGCATGGATGCATGTATGCAGTTGGGTAGGTAGATGTAGGTAGATGTAGGTAGATGTAGGTATAGGTAGGTATGTCGGTCGGCAGGTAGGAACGCACTGTCTCCTCTCTCCCTCTCTCTCTCTCCATGGCCGTCCCGTTGAGTTCAGCTAGAAGGCAAGCAAGTGGCCCAGCCCAACGGAGCCACCAGTTCATATCTGTATGCCTGTAATCTACTGTGATGTGATTTAAGGTAGTGGTTCAGGGTTAAGGGTTAATGGCTTATGTAAACCTAAAGTCCGCATGTAATGTAATATGTGTATTATATTTATAATTATATATAATTATATATATGCAAGTTATGTAAGTATGTGTGTGTGCAGCAACACTCACCATCAAGGAACTTGTCGAAGGCTTCGATGACTTCCTGAAGCAAGCCCAGGGGAGAAGAAGCTGTGAAATCCACTCGAAATCCCATAGAGTTCCCATGAAATCACCATAGAAAACCCATAGAAATCCCATGTTTAGAAACCTATAAAAACCATTAAACACCTGTATAATGCGGCGAATCCAATGCCATGAACCTATAAAATAAACCTACCATGACTGGGGATCGTTTATATACCACCCATACAAATGATGACTTTGGAGATGGTTTATTATTAGCAGATTAAACTATAGCCGGTGTAATTCTTGTGGAATATTTCACTGACACAACAACTGGGATCTAAGATACTGGGAGTTTAATCAGCAATGGCTATCCTAGGCATCCCTGGGCATATGGATACCCGAACCGCTCAAAAAAAACGCAAACCATCCGTTCACCACTGGAGCGTTTTTAAGCATTACTGACTTGCACACACATTCCATTTTCTACGAATGTCTGTGAATGCTTCTTTGTGCTCCTGTCTGCCACAGGTTTGAGCTTGGGATTCCGTCTCTAGTGCTTTGAGCATCTCAGCTGGTAATGGAAACTCCTGCGCTCAAATCTCTTTCAACACAAAATTGCTCATAAACATTTGATGTGACTGACTTGAACTCATCATACTACTATACTAACAGAGGCAATCTAACCTTTCAATGGACACTCCATGAAAACACATCCGTTTTCCTTTGCCAAAACGATTGTTTCCCAAATTTTCCAACATTTCCACTAACTGGGTTAGAATAAAACCATATTCCCAATTTCCATGGGTAATAATTCGCTTGCTATTTGGCACTCACATCCAAGTAGGACAACAGGACATCAAAATTCAAATGAAAGTAAAATGTACGTATGGCTAGCATGAACCCCAATAAACAATCCCAATAAAAATGTTTCTCACCCCATTAAATCCTATAGAATCCCACTCAATCCCGTAGAAATCCCTATCAGTCCTATAGAACCACCATGAAATCGCATAGAACCCCTCTTAAATCCCATAGAAACCCCATGAAGTCCCATTGAATTTCTATGAAATCATATGGGCCAAAGAAATCCCATGGAAATGTGCCTGGTACTTGTAGCTCTTGGCCAAGGCATAGGCGGTTCGCCCCAGATGGTCTGTGGCCAGAGTATCAGCCCCGAAGCTGAGAAGTAAGGCCACCTCGGAAGCTCAACTGTCAAATAAGGACTGATTCCTGACTTGAAAACGGGCATATCATGGAAATATCATGGAAATATCATGGAAATATCATGGGAATATCACCGGAATATCGTGGGGAATATCATCATGGAAATGAATCATGGCAATATCATCGGAAAATAATGGGAATATAATGGGAATGTCATGGAAATATCATGGGAACATGGAAATGAATCAATGTGAGTTTCAAAGAGACTAAACTCATATTTCAACTAGTCAACTCAACAACCCCAGTCCGCTTTTTCTTTGAGACTGAGTCCTGAACTGAAAACGGGGATGTCATGCAAATACATGACAGGAATATATTCAATATGATTCCTGACCTTTTGGGAGCTATGATTTAATACTATGGGAATATATTCATATTCAATATTGCCATATAAAACTTACTTCAACCCGCAATATTTATATACTTATGATCTGACTCAACTGATTAAATATGAGCTAACTATATTGAATATCTCATGGGAATATCGTTGAACTATTAATGGGGGATGTGGTGGGAAAAAAACTACAGGCTTGGTCTGGCTTGGTCTGAAACTCTCTGTTGCTCCGAACTCGGACGGAGAAAGAATTTCTACGGGTGAAATTCACTCTACCATCTGGTTATGACTAACATAGCCATGGTATAGATGGCCCATAGAAATAGATGGTTTACCTATTAAAAATGGTGATTTTCCATGGCGAACTGTTAGTCATAACCAGATGGTACCAGGTTAAAAGGAACAATCCTCCCCAGAATTTCAATGCTGTCGGGCAATTTCGAAGATGTTTAATTCTTCCGCATCCCCCAATGTGGAAGGGGGGGTGAAAGCAACACCATAAGAGATGCAAATCACACTCTGGAAAAAACAACACAAAAAAAAACAACATGGTTTCCCAGTACCCAAACCCCACATCTGGTGTTAAATTTGCTGCATTCTCGCTGATTCCAAGGCCACAAACACCTACAAACTTTCATCAACTTGAAGTTTTGACGCCTTTGTCGTTGGATGAACGCCTTTTTGATTGGCTGAATAGCTTGTAAGAAGAATCAGTTGATGCCAGTTGATACTGGAGCCGTCTCAGTGGAGCCACCATGTGGGGGTTGTTCTGCTTCACCGCCTCATGCAGAGGATACGAGGTGAAGACTCTCCAGCTCCTAGGTCCAGTCAGAGGCTGAGCTTGGCTGAGCTCCAGCTGGGAAGATCATGGAGGTCGACCATGAGATGAGATGGGTCTCTGAGAATTGCGGGGGAAACCTCCAGAAATCCTCAAATTTATGATCATTTCCACGGGAGGAAAAAAACTTACATTTTTGGAGTATTCCCCATTTCCAATGGGATAGTAATTGGGTGTATAACCCAGAATTGATTGGATCCCAAAAAAAAATAAAGATTGCAACCGCATCTCCACAGCTTACACCCGTGGAAACATTGTCTTTTCGCGTGCTGGTAAAGGACAAGGGACAAGAAACAGGTCTGAACTCTTCATGATGGCTTGCCAAAATACCATGAAATCCAGATGGTCTTTTGCACGCATATGTATAATATACATATAGTGTAGATACATATGAACACACACACATATATATATATATATGTATATAATTATATATTTATTTATGAAGTATAAAACGCAGATAAAAATAAAGATTATTATATCACATTATATTATATTATATTATTTGATGCTATATGATGTTATATAAAATACATATATATATATATATGTACAATGTACACGTAAAGCTGCGCGGTGAACCGCGGCAAGCGTCTGCTTCTTGGAATTGACTTCGCCAGCCTTGAAGCCGTTGGCCTCGAGGAAAGTCATGATGGCCATTCCTCGGGGGCAACGGTTAGCCGCAGCCATAAACCCCCCGGCCATGTCACGTTGGTGCCGTAGTTAACCGTAAATTAAGAAGCTAAGTCATACTAAGTGGGTTTATAACTCGGTGAATTCGATGGTTTATTGTATATATATATATAATATATTGTATAAATATTATATAAAAATAATATACATGAAATAAAATAGTTGATGGGTTTATAAACCAACAAATATCACCGGGGCGAGGGGCAGCACCTTGCATCCCATGATTCATGGCTATCCTGTGAGTTTGTTGCTTATCACAATAAAATCACTTAGCATAAGCCCTCTAGATATCAATCACTCAACGAACGTATTGTTAATGGCTCAATTTGTTCTCCTCCCTGGGTTCTATTGCTAGATTTGATTGCAAGTACACGACCGCACTCTATGATGATACCCATGGTGTACAAACATATTTATATACATGCATAAATATATGGTACCATGTGTAATATATATATACACATGCTTAGATGCATGTATAGCATGTGTACTTGTACGCACATAGATATGCTCCTCGTGGCATTGGCGAAGATTTTTCTTGGTGGGCAGCATATATATATATGCAATACAGTAACATGTAAGTTTTAATTGGGAGCAATGTTGATACACCAGGGGACTACTGTATAGAGGTAGAGTTTTCAGTTTTCAGTAGCATTGACAACGGTGGTTCGAATTCAACATTTGGTACGTACATGTACGTACCATGAACGAATCATGCGGTTCCAGCGTATCAACCTGAGAATGATAGTGAACGACAGTGACATACGCTAAACAAACATGCCTAGATGGGCAATTAGCAGCAATATGCAACAATGAACTAAGACCGACCTTGGTTGAAAATTGCCGCTCTCCGTTGCCATAGTCAAGTGGATCTTACAGTACATCGAGCCTTTGCAGTCATCAACAGATGTAGCTTCAACAACACATGGTTTCTTTTTTCCGGCAACCTTGTTAACCTAAGGAAATCCACATAGATGATAATGATGATATGGAACAACTTCCAGGTTTTCATCAATGTTGCAGGGCCATGCAGGGCCTTCCCAAAAAGCGTGGAGTTTCCCCCCCATCTCTTGCCGTTTTTTGTGCGGCAGGCGGCTGTTCTTGAAAAGAAGAGATCTATGGCGGTTCACCACCTGGCTCTGTGGCATTGGTGCGGCAGGCTGTGTCCTGCCTCTGGAGAAACATGTTGAAGTTACCCAGTTATGAAAAGTTATGACAAGTTTAAGGGGTGATTGTGCAAAATGCAGCTTGTGTTGGAATACAAAAGGGTACTACAGAATGGCAGTTGTCATTCCTACTTCTTTCTAGTTCTAAAACACTGAACAAGATTGAAACACATCCACTCATGGAGCATCATTTCTGTCTTGGAACGCCCTCATTTTATTCATTTTTCACCGGCCCTGCGTGTGGAATCACAGACTTAGCCTGCCCCTTTGACCCTCAGACTACTCAGAACAACATGTCAAAGTTAAGACTTGCCAGGGATAAATGCACACGTTCATCGGTATCATGATGAAGATCTAAGTGCTGCAAGACGCAAATGCTCCACCGTGCATTTTCCCACCCTTACCTCCCTAAGAGCCTCTGATAGAAAATCATGGCTACCACATGTCCAATCCATTCATAGGAAAGTAGTCCAAGAAGAATTGATAAGACATGTGCGTTTTTTTTCTCTATTGCCAAGTAGGGTTGCTGTAGGGTACCACGAATAGAGAATGCGGCTCTAATCTAATCAAATGACTATCCAGTATGTATATATATATATATATATCCAATATCAACTCCCCCCCAGAAAAAACTTCAGTGTCTGACTTCATAGTCTCCTTGGCAAAACACGATCTTTATCCATCTGAAAAGCAACCCGGTAAAACCCTTCAAGGCATGGTGAATGGTGAACCCCATACACATACACGTACAAGCATGTGCATGTTCATATACATATATATATATACATGAAAAAACTGTTGTCAATGGGTAAGCCTCGCTTTCACACATCTACATATATTTGTTATTATTACTGTTATCATGATTATTATGATGTATAATATTGTATAATATGGCGTTTACTAAGCAGGCAAGAAGGGCCCCTAGTTATAACTTCCTGACCTCATTCAATTCTGCCTTAGATCCAACACCTTGCCTAGTTGCAAACAAATTACCTATCAACCATCTCATAGGACTCCGACTTTGGTTGGATAAATGATAAATCATGCTTTTTGTTGGTTAAATGCCCTTCATTGCGGGTTGGCACACCCCCATTAGGGCCCTCTTTTCTGAACTTCCTTATGCTTAGTCCTCCAGCTCAGCGAAGATGTTCCATATCGGTACTCACAAAAATCGCCTGATCAGTGGGGGGTTCCAAAAATGGGTAGCCCAAACGATAATATTTGACCATAAGCAATAACTTGGATGGACATGTTATCCCCCCAGGTGAGGAAAACCCCTAGAGATGTTTCGCCGTTTCTCCGACAGCTGCCTTGTCGATCTTTCCGATCAGCGGCAGCGAGGGTTTTGACGGCGCCACCGCCGGTCCGGCGACGGGCGTTCGCTCGTCGGGGATCTCATCTGCCTGGATCAGGCATTCAACGGGTTGCGTGGGATCTGCAAATGATGTGCATCAAATGATGAGATATTGGGAGATATGGATATGTTTGAAAAATAACTATACCAAATGTATTTATACATAGTAAAACCACTAGTCACAAATTATGTGCATCTTTACAGCGCATAGAATTCGATATCATTCTATATCTATATGCACACACCGTTTGTTTATTTTTGTATGGTCTCAAAGGAGTAGGTCTAAGGTAGTTGCCATGACTATGAGTCAAAACCCTGGTGCCGTGGGTACCCAAAGTCATAGCTGGTGTGCCCCCAAATATGGTAATTTGATAGGTGTTGAGCCATGGCCATTTTGATTTTCCATGATATTTCCATATACTTCCTGTAAACCCCACGAAACCTTGGTTGTATTCCCAGATATGTGGGATTATATGGATTAAACCAAAACCACATGACTGTCTGGGTAGATTATCATATATTTCACCTACCTGAAACGTGCGCCCATTTAGGGATGATTGCCCATATATACAGTAAACATCAGTAAACCATGATTCCAGTGAGGTCAAGGTCAGGTCACTATTTTGTGTGCCCAAGATGATGTCTTTCCAGATCTTTTTTGTTTGGCGGTCGTGGGCACTCAAGTGGGAGAGCCAACTGATGATCCTGTTGGTTTTGCCTGCAGTGTGTTTTCGTACTCCGTTCGTCGGTCCGAAAGATTGTCCCAAATACAAAGAACGTGTCGCCATTGCTGCCTAAGGATGTTGAAAAAACCTAAATGCTCCATGGTTTATTTTTTTGGGTGGGTATTGGATGGTATTGGTACATATTCCCTACATGGAGCATCTGGGAAGCATAGAAAAACATAAAAAACAAAAACAAACACATACAAAAACACGTTTGAAACCATCAACCTTCTAACGTGGGCTGTGTATATCCTTTGAGCAAAATCTAGCAAAGTGGAAATTGCATCCTGATATGAGAGAAATCACCAATACATTTCAATACATGGATAAAAGCAGGTGGTCTTACTTACCATCATCTTCATCACATTGGATGTCCGGTAGCATACATGTTGATCCATATATATCCATACTGGCCTCCTGAAACTCTTCGACTTTGCACTTCATGTTGTATGGGAGCTGGAGCTCCACTTGCGATTTCACATCAGCGATGGCGATGATGCACATGCTGAGGTGTACCTGAAAGCGACCAGTGCCTTAGATTAGCCAACTATCTCTAACAAAAGAGTCACAACAAAAGCCATTTTTTCCAGTTTCTGGGGCGGGTGGACCACTCAAAGTGTGAAATCCATTTGGTCATCATCACTATCTCGTTTAAAATGACCACACATGTGCGCTGAATCCCCAATTTTCGGACATAAATATGTTCTCATGATGGAACATGTAGGAAAAGTCTTGTCTTGTCAGCTTTGGTTCGGGGACAAAATAAGGGATATCCAACCGTTTCATAGTTTTTTGATTTTGAACATCTTGGACATCTTATCCAAGAATAGGCTTGCAAACCGCAAACCTGGTCAACCTTACAGTTCATAATGTTCATAGGATTCACATCCAAGAATTCCAGCATCACTGAAAGTGCACGGTTTTTCATATGTTTTCTATTTTTGCCCATGCTATTTCACAAAAATCCCTTCCCGGCCCTTCATGAAAAATTCATACCCTGCGATATGTCCCCTTGACCTGGCGACCTGGATGGCGGCTGCATTTGTTAAAATCAACGCTTCTGCTTAAATCATCAGCCGCGATCTTAGAATGTTATAACCCATAGGATCCATGTATGCGATATATGGTAACATTTACCATCAATATACCCCAAATGTTAGCATATATACCATACATGGATCCTATGGGTAATAAACAAATGATATCATATCAAACAAATAATCAACATATAACTGTTTGTCAGCCATTTGGAGCCATCATTGCATCCCATGTTCCTCCGTTTTTCCACATCCTTCCACTCCGAGCGACTCCGTCGGTGTTTTTTGTCGCACTTCGTGAGGTTTTTTCCGCCCCACTGGTTTGAGCCCAAACTCCATGTTTTTTTCGCACGATGAGGAACCACAGGGTATCTCATTTGGTTGTCGGCTCAAATCTCAATCTACTTCTCAGATCCTTCCCAAAGTCAGCCCTCAAAATGGGAAATATCAGGCAAAGCCCCAGCTTTGCCAGAATTCTCGGAACCAACATGTATGTCTCATCGTGTCTCCCCATACACACACATACATATATATACATAAAACATACGTCAGACATGTCAGAGATTTGAGAATGTCAACTTTCTATACACGATCTGTCCATCCATTCGTCTACCCAGGTCTATCTATACAGGATCGATCTTATCTCGTTCTGTCGCACACACATATCATGTATATATATATATATATGTATATATATGTATCCATATCCATATATGCAGTTATCATACTATAGAATATCATCCAAATATATTGTGATATATCCATATTTATATGGGTCATAACCCTGTATATACCCCTTTTGTTCACATCAATAGCTGGGATTTATGTATCTTCATCATCCCCTAAGAAATTCTATCTAAAGCTATTGATCATTATTGATCCATAGCCGTATCCATCATATCATATCATATCATATCATATCATATATATATATATATACATGTATGATTTATCTATGATGTGTGTATATATATATATACATATATATATAAATACATATAACTGCATATAAATACATATATAATCATATAAACATATATCGCATATCTGATTTGAAGCATCTCTCATATATATCTCTTGAAGTGCCCAGACTCCCCGCTCCGTCCAATAGTCGTCCTGGGCTGAACCTCCTCGACCTGCGGCTCCGCCATGCGCTGCATGAGCTGATGTTCACCCACCACTCCCAAGTCCAAGCCCAAGAAGTCCTCGTAGCCGGCCTAAGGCGCAATAAGATCCGTTAAATTAGCCATGAAAAATCATGAAAATACCAGGGAAAACATGACAAATACCCGTTTTTTTAAAACTGTTTTTTTGGGAGTTCTGCAACCTGCTGATTGGGATTATGAACTAAGAGCGGGATGAGATGGGATAGGGATATGAATGGCTCAGATGGTCAACCCGTAAATATGTCATACACTACTATAGTTTATAGGTAAACCTCCAGAAATGATGTGACAACTGAATCTTTACTCTTAGAATCTTGCGAACTTCTATCTTTTTAGTGTTAATTGTGGAATATTTCATAACTGGGCTATGATGTGACTGCCACTTACCAACTGGAATACGCCCTGAAGTACGGAAATGCTAGATTTATCTCTGAAATGGGGAGGGCATGCCCGTTTTCAGACACACCCAAATCCATGATTTATTGGTTAAACTAGTAAAAACAATCCCTATTATTGGATTGTTATCCCGCGCGTTGATTGATAAAAAGTTAAGCCTTTATAGAAGTTTTTAATCTATTGGTTATAAGTTATAAGTTTAGATCTATTTTAAACGCCAGCCCTATCTTGGACGACAAACAACCCACAAAGGGCTTGGTTTAAAACGTCAACTTGTGTTTGAGAGTTCAATTCCATATCCCAATTATCTTCATCACAACTCAACCTAAATCATACCCCCAATCATATTCCTACTACCCTTTGGTAAACTAACATAGCTATTGAACATGGCCATAGAAATACCTATTCAAAATGGTGGATCTTTCCTTGGTTTTTTAAAACGTTTACCAGAGGGTAGATCCCAATCATCTCCCAAGCTATATTAATAATTAATAATAGGTAAATCCACTATAAATGGTCCATTTTCCAGTTCGCTATTTTGACATAGCCAGAGGGTAGCCCCAATCATATTCCTACTACCCTCTGGTAATTTAACATAGCTATTGAAAATGGCTATTTATAGTGAGTTTTCCCATTAAAAATGGTGATTTTCCATAGCTACGTTAAATTACCAGAGGGTAGATCCCAATCATCTCCCAAGGATATCCATCTCTTCTGCAGCACCGCACCGCACCGCCGAGCTCCGCACGATCTCTGTCCGCAGGTCCTCCGCCTCCACGAGGGCAGCCCAAATCCGGGCGGACATGGGCAGCATGAGGCCCTGGCGACACCGGAAATCATGGGATCTTGTGGTGGAAAAATTGGATTTAAACACCATGAATAGATATGAATAGAATCTGCACAAATATACAGCTTAGAGATTTTAGATGAATTTGGCCCGAAATAAGGATTGGAATTTCAATAGTAAAGAAGCGGATGTAATCATCGAATTTGACATTTACATACATTTACAAATTATAGTCAGTAGATGGATTATTAACAGGCTATTTGCAGGAAGCAGTGGGTTTACCCGACAAACATTGGAGCTTGGTATGGATTACTATCCACTTCCCAACTGTTTGATGTGCACTGTTTATTGCTGAAAAACCATGTAAAAATCCCCTCTCAGGAGTCAAACATGGCAACAGAAAAATCCTACATTTTATCGTTGATTTTTCATTCAATCCACTAAAGATCCTACATTTATAGCGGATTTTCCATTAAATCCACTTCAAACCCTCCATTTATATAGGGCATGTCCCAGCCATGTTCGATGCCCCTGCGGCCAGACCTGTGGTTGGAGGAAACGGTCTCGAGCTTTTAAGACCGACTCTAACCTGAGCGCGCTGAGAACGTTGATGAACGAATTTCTGAACTAACAACACATTAAATATGGGTAAATAAGGGTAAATAATAATAATAATAGCAATAATAATAATAAAAATAAAAACATAATAATACTACTAATAATAAAAAATAATACTGATAATAATAATGGGTAAATATATATATATATATATATCTGGGTAAATAAAAATAATTCACTAACCTGAAATTAGGTCATTTAGGGATAGTCACTTACTAAGCATCATTCCCAGGTATATCTGGTTGGTGGTTTCAATTGCTCTGAAAAATATGAAAGTCAGTTGTGATGATTATTCCCAATCTATGGGAAAATAAAAAATGTTCCAAACCACCAACCAAATATACATATGGCATTGACAAACAATATATATATATATACACCTACATATATACATATACATATACATATATACATATACATATATACATATATATATATAATATTCATTTACATAGAGTATGACATTCACACACCTTCCATAATCCGTAGTATATTCCAATTGCCCTCTGGCTTTTGTTACATAGCTATGGAAGCCATGGCCCATCATCGAGGGGTCACGGGTCACCTTTGCGGTCGTTGAATCCTCATGATTTACGCCGTTACGGAGAATTCTGGGTTCCCATTTTTGCGAAATGGGGACAAGACCAAGAGAGGGAACACCGTATGAGACATAGTTTTTCATCCCAGTGACTAAACATCATTAAACATCATCAATAGGAGTTTATTGCTTCACTAGAGGACAATTGTGGGAAGATAGTGGGTGTAACTCATCAAAACAGGACTATCCCAGTGTATTCGGAAGGCCATTAAGGCCATTCGGAGTTCCAAGCCGCTCACTTTAATACGTCCCAATATTTCCCAGCGGTTTGTAGGTTTATGACCAACTTATTCTGACTACTGTAATATATCAAAATATAATATGTGCATATAAAATTATATAAATCGTTCTAGTTGCATTTGGTGTCACGACAATCATTGAAGTCCGTCCCCAGTGATTTTCGGGCTGACCAGGTATCCAAGGTAGCGACATTTCACTTACGATTGGGTTTTCCACCCATTTGCATAGTTTGCATTGAAATATGGTGCCCCCAACCCATCCAAATCCACAGGTGTATTATTTTGTTTCCGAATATCGAGCCTTGTTGTCTTTTTTATTGGCCATTTGGGACCTCATTTTCCGACACAGCCGTATCAATATTTGACTTTATTTCTTTGGTGTAAGCTATTTGGATTCATCATCTACAAACTGGATCACCCATATCACCCTATATACGCGGAATCCAGCATTGAACATGCGCGGTACAAATGGCAGCAGCTTTCCACATCATGGCCAGTCTTAGAATTCTTAGATGCGCTTCACACATCTTCAAACAAGGAAGGAACATACAAACATAGCGCAATCGACCTACAGTACCCAACTAGCCGGTGTATCCACAGACCGGCATGAACATGATAAATCAGGCAGGACCTTAAACAAAACAACCAAAGATGATTGAATTAAATGGAAACTGCTCCACAATCTAGGGCTTTGATGCGTATAATTCTCCCGCCCAAATCAAACATCCCATTGAAATTGATAGACATTTTGTATATCATGGTCCATGCATGGTATCATCTTCCTGACACATCCGGCCATCCCAGTGGCATGGATTCGTGAACCAAATAGAAACCCATCCATTCAGAGATGATCACATCCTCGGCAGAGCGCTGGCAGATCGGCAGAGGGGCCCTGGTTTTTCAAACGCTTCGTCCTGTTCCGATGATACCTTTAAATCACGTTTACCCTCTGGTCAACTAACATAGCTAGGGAAAATCACCATTCTTTAATATGTTTAACAGTGTTTGATATATGTAAATCAATCAACTATAAATGGGAATTTTCAATAGCTATGTCAAATTACCAAAGGGTGCAGCCTTCACCCTGGTGGAGTTGGGTTACCCCAAGCCTCCCAGGCCAACAGTTCAATCATGATTTCGGCAAACCAATTTTGAGATGATACACATCTCTGGGGTTTGCCAATAAGTGCGTAATCTGTTTAATGATGTTTAATGTGGTAGGTCTCAAGCAAAGTTTGTGAAGCTTCAAATATCAAGGTGAATTATCCATAAAGCGCCAGTTTGTGAACCAACCTCCCTTGGCGTCCTCAAGACTCTCAAGACCTAGTTTCCACCTTGCCAGGAAGTTCTACATCTTCCACACGACTGTTGAGAACCGTCACCTCGACCCCAGATCCGCGCCCCAGGTTCGGCGATGAAGTGGACCCCCAAAGGCCCTAAACCAAACCACAAGGTTCTGAAGCATCCCTCCATCGAATCTTCATCCTACATGGAGGTTCCATGGGTTTTAAATTGTGTTTGAATGCGAAAATCATAAATGGAACCTGCCCATTGCCATGTTTGATTTCCAGAGGCCATACAGGTTATAAACGTCCGATTCTGACTCAAAATCGTTGGGGTGTACCTCACAAAACCCGTTTCCACCCCCCAACGGCGGCACCTTGTCCTGCAAACCATTTTGCTCCCTTGGCCCAAGAACAAGTGGTACAAACTGGGGTTCCCAGCAAAGGCGGGGACAATTTTTCACAGGGGCCTTCCATGGCCAAAACCGCTCCAACATGGGAGAAAAAAACATAGCAAAACCCACAGGAATTCGTAACCTGATGGCCTCGCTATCACCTCATTCACCGTTGATTCCATTGGAAAAGGCTAGCATGTGGGTGCATCTCACACAACGCCATCCACCGGTGTAGATCTTGTTTTCACCACTTCTTTGTTCCGGTTATGTTTCTTGCCGCAATTTGTGTGTAAACCACGCTAAATCAGTTCCTCATGTTTGTTCTACCATGTTCGTTTTTTTCTATGATTCTGATCAGGATTGTTGTCTCGTGATTTGTTTCTGATTGTTTATTGTTGCGCCAATTTTGCCACCAGTCCAATCCCAATCATTATCCCATGTTTATCCTTATAAATCAAATTTTCAAAAAAAATATCAAATTCATTCCAATCCCAATGAATTATCGTAGAATATTATAGATTATAGATGATTTCCCATGCTCATCCCGATATATGGCCGTTACCCTCATTATGCTTGCAAACAAAATAAATTATTTTTATCACACGATTTATTAGTTAATTCCATTATTACATTCCATTACTATCCTGCTAGTTATCACCTTATTCATATCCCTTTATTATCCCAGATCTATGCTCATCCTTTATAAATCCCATTCTGATCCCATTACTCTCCTTATAAAACCATTGGGGAATTATCCAGATCTATTGTTGGCCATATTGCACCAGTGTTGTTGGTGAATTCCAACATGTTGGTTGGTGGTGTTAACCATCTTGAAAAATAGTAGTCAGTTGGGATGATGACATTCCCACTATATGGAAAATAATCCAAATGTTCCAAACCAAAAACCAGTAGTAGTTTCTTTTAACCAAATGACAATGGGATAATCATTGGGTGTTATGCAATGATGTGGTACTTCCCATTTGACTATGTCATAGTAATGGTTCATCATAATTCCGAATTGTTTCATCCAGATCTATGGCATGTTTTTTTTTCTATCTTACTATGGCATGTTTTTCTATCTTACTATGGCATGTTTTTATATTAACATGATTACACATATTAACCAACAATCATGTCACTATTCCATTATCCATTATCATGATTCGTTAATATCCATCATTATTCCATCAATATTAGATCATATCCACTATTATTACCCTATCTACTATATATATATAGTTATTGGATATGATCCCATCTATTAAACATCTAAACATTGTTTTGGATATATGACTCTTAATCAATTATTACAGTTCTTTATCGTCCATCAATACTATAATACAATCATTGTTCTAATGTTACGTAATGTTACTATATACCATTATTATGATTTTCTTAGTTCTGGTTGGTGGTTTCAACCCCTCTGAAAAATATGAATCGGTTGGGATGGTTATTCCCAACATATGGAAAAATAAAAAATGTTCCAAGCCACCACCAACCAGAGTTAATATCCACTATTAACTCAATATTAATGTTGCTCAGTTTACTTCAGTATCCACTAATATTGAGTTTATGTTTTTCATTATTTGTTAGTTATATCTTCATGTTTTCTCCACCCAAAACCAGCTTCGCCGTGGCACACCAGCTGCTTGGCCATCTTGGCCATGCCCGGTACCGCCTCCACCGCCCACACGTGCTCCGCCAGGCCGTGCTTGGCGGCCAACCTGGGACGAAGTAAGGCTTAAGGCTGTAGACATGTAGGAAATGACCTGAAAGCATCCAAGAAAAATGTTAACAAAAACCATTGATTCCAGCAATTTCCTGCGAATTTATGCTGAAGTTCCTGTTTGTTCATCTTGTTCTATCTCTTTGGGGGTTGATACGAAGCAATAGGGATAAATTGAATAAATCTTATTCATCTGATCTAAAACTGATTTTCTACACCCGTCTAGACTTCCAAAGACCTCCTCAGAAGGTGATTTCGGTAGGCTTGGGGGGTCACATACCTTCTCAGAAGGTGTTTGCAAGTCTCAAAACATAAACTGAATAAGAATGAGTCACCAATATTTAGTATGTAATCTTATTAATACGTGGCCCGTGGATGTTATATGTAGTGGCATCATTTATTCCGTGCTTTTCTCTTTAATAAGCACAGATCGATTTGCCTGGGCTTTCTGTGGTTGACAATGAAGAACGAAAGAGCACTGTGACACTAGAACAATGTTTTAAAGTTCCAATATTGAACGCCCGTGCGTAAACATTGCTTTAAATGAGGACAATGATAATCAGCAACATATCGAATGACATAGCGTAGGAATAATGTTGTTCTGCAAATATATATGTATATATATAATCATATGCACATATTGGCACATATATGCAATTAATTAATTAATTAATTAGTTAATTAATTAATTAATTAATTAATTATATGTATATATAGTAAACTTCAATTGGTATTGTCATCAACGATGTTCTCACATGTTCTTGAATCCGTTTTAAAAACGACTGCAAGCATTGGAGACTAATGTGGTAAACCCGCCATGCCAAGAGACAAACTCAGAATGCCACTTCCGGCTCCAACGTCCAGGACCTTCTTCCCCTCGATCAGGACTCGTTCCCAGGGAAAAACCCGACAAACACATGAAGTCCCAACGAAAACATGGAAATGTCACAGGAAAAATGTTAAACAAAATCAGTTCAAATCCAAAGTCTCCTCAACACTTCAGGAACGCCCCCTTTCATATATTGAAGGATAGAAAAACAAATATCCATCAGCCTCCAGTAGATTTTCACATCAGAATCAATCCATTGGAGTTGCCACTTGGAGGATCGTTCCGCTTCCAAAAAAAATGGTTACCCTACCTTTTTGGTGACATAGAGATGGAAAATCCACAATTTGGATGTCCGGACCCCTAGAGAAACCGAAACAAAGCCCATCAATTTCCATAGCTTTTCGCATATTTACTGGAGGGATCTGGAGGGTCCTACCATACCCTACCATACCCAGTCCCTGCAGAGAAGCTTCATCCCAAGCACTACGAAAAGACTGGTAGTGACTAGCCACATCCCTGCGGAAGATGATCCTTATCCCATGACATCTTTGGCCAAAAAGTGCCAGAAGTTCATTCCCCAAAAAATGGGGGTGGAAAGCAGTCAGCACGAGGAAAATTAGTTCAAAACATCACTGACTCAACAGATCCCCGACCTGCTGTGTGTTGCCATATGTTGCCATAGTTTTTTTGGGGGGCTATGGCGGCTATGGCGGATACTTAGATCGGCCATGGAGTTAGTTAACTAGTTAGTAAATGGCTTGTTTCATTGGGATATAGCTAGTTAGTTATAACCCCAGTTAGTTACTCTCAGTAAATGGATAGCTAGTTATAAATGGATAGCTAGTTATAAATGGATAGCTAGTTATAAATGGATAGCTAGTTATAAATGGATAGTTAGTTATAAATGGATAGCTAGTTATAAATGGATAGTTAGTTATAACCCCAGTTACTAACCAGGAATCGTTGATCCCATGGCATCCCATGGCCCTCCGATCTCCTGCAAGTGATGCGCCCGGATGGCTGCCAGATACGCCCCCAGGCGCTGGAAGTCGCTCAGCATCAAGGCGTGGACCTCCATCTGGTCATAGGCCTGGGGCCGTGGCCACCTAGTAACAATAGTTCATAGATGTTTATATGAATCATAACTGGTTGGTGGTTGAGCCCTACCCCTCTGAAAAATATGAGTTCGTCAGTTGGGAGTATTATTCCCATATATATATATGGAAAATAAACAATGTTCCAAACCACCAACAAGATAATGTGGTATCTTATGTTGAGATTATTCCTACTATGTTCCAACAAACATCTTATAATGTGGATACCCTCTGGTATACGTTTACAAAAAGCTATGGGCAATTACAAGTTTTAATAGGTACTGTAAATCAACTATTCATATGGCCATATGTTCGTTTACCAGGGGATAGTTTATATTAAACAATAATACTTTCTTGTATAGGAACTATTTGGATCTATGTGGTTCCGATACGCTATTCCTATAATTACTAAGAGTTACAGAATTATATGATGTTTTTCTTTAAAAAAAAAACTATGGTTACTAAAGCTTTGCTGGATTCGAGTGGTCAATTCATGTCATAACCAAAATATTCTTCATGCCTTGCTTGGGTGCTCTAAATCTAGAGAACACTTACCACCATCATCGGTACTTGAAATAACAATGCTATCTCTGGTGGGTTGGATATCATGGCTGGTGAGTCCCTGAGTGATGAACGCTTGGGGACGGATGCTTGGGGGGATTGTGTTTTTTTGGGATAGTGGCTGAGGATGGATGATGGGTGCAAGTGATATTTTCTGAGAGATTTACAGGTTACAACTGCGCCACAGTAAGATTGAGCGCAACGAGTTAGCGAGCACTCAAATGCCTACCAAGGACAAAACACATCGGAAAAACAAAAATATATTCGTCCTAAAGCATCTGAGCATCCTCCACTTGCTTCAAGCTGCACAAAAATAATGTGTGCCTTTTCTCATTCACCGCCCTGATTGATAATTATTTAGTCTAGATTCAGTACTGCCAAATATGTCCATCATCTAGTCTATTTGTTTCTCCTTTCTCATGGATTTTCCCACCTAGCAGGCCTCAAAATATGCTGCATCAGAGAGCTTGGAAGCCTCTTCCCGGGAGGGCTCAGCTGCCTCTTCCTCCTCTTCCATTGGAGGCTCCTGCTGGCGGAATCCCTGCATGCTGTATGAATCCTTTATCAACACGCAAGAAGATCCTTGGATGAAGCCCAAACCCTATAAAACCATTTCCAAGTTAGTCCGGTAATTTAACCTCTTGAGCCAACAACACGCACCAGCTGAATTTCCACACGAGTGAGCATCCGCTTTCTGCCTTCCTACCCCCAAAAGTCACCCACTACCTGACACACACACACGTATTTAATTAAAATATATAAATATATAATATTATATGTATGTATATATATATATATATCTGTCTCTCTCTCTCTCTCTCCGTGTGTGTGTGTGTGTCATATTCTACACATAGTAGTTCTATAGTTCTTACATTTCCCGATTCAACGTTGACTGCCTCTGGGCTCTTAAACACCAAATGCCATTTGCCAGGTGAAGGGGATTCGAATTCAACACTCGGTTGAGCTTCTCAAAACTTCCCGTAAATCCGTCCACCCACCAAGGGGCCCCCACCGGTGGAGTATCCACAGCTGGATGGCTCCAGGCTCCACTTGGAGGGGCTGGAGGAGCCCCGGGATGATCATCCCAAGCTCCAGGAGTGATCGAAGCAGAGCCGGGAGCATCAAACGTTCCATTTGGAGTAGCCCTGGGGGGGCTGGGCGCAGCGCCGGCTGAAAAGCTGCTTCCGCCAATGGCTGGAGTCCTTCAGGGTTTCATCTTCGACTTCGAAGCAAAGACTAGAAATCGACAATTTTACAGTAGTTGGACTCAATTATATATATGCATTATCTGGGCAACTGGCTTCTCTGATTTCTGATACATGGCTGGAAGCATGACCATCATGACCCTGTCCTTGGAGCGCTGGCGCCAATGGGAGTCATGGAAGCCCCTGAGAAGGAAAAAGACACATTGGGAACGTTGAACACGGAGGAAGGTGTCCGCGGCGCATCTCTGGATGCGCTGGGGAACGCAGAGGGGCTGGAAGGGGCACCAGAGCCCCGATTCACGCGGAAGGCTGTGATGGGGGCCTCCTCACCCTGCCAGGGGATGCTGGGGCAGTGGCATGCAGTGGCTTGCAGGGATCAACTATGCCCGGGACTCCGACCATACTGAGGTGGAAGCCTTAAACGAGTCCTTACTCATCTCAAAGGCATTTCCTTGTCACTTCAGTGCGGTAATGATTTTTCCCCGCAACTTAGCCAATAAAATAGACACCGGAATGCCGATTCATTGAAATTTTAAATAGCTTTGGATGCACGGTATGGGGCACCGGCACCACCCCGCAATTCAGGGATACATCAGGAACCTACTTTAGAGGTATTGATCCATATGAGCTCTCTGTAAAGCTTAGTTTCACGGAACATCCTCATAAAATATGGCCCTATATGGAATACCTTTATTTTAGGATCCTGGAAATCAAATTTATCATTGGTAAACTAATGTGACCTCCCTATGTCTAAGTTTTCAATCCCTTAAATACCGCTGCTTCAAACTCAATATTTCCATGCTTAGGCACCTGTGAATGGTTAAATCGCAATACTACACCGCAATTTTTCACCAACTTCCATATATTCCACTAAATTTATCTCAGAAATGGGGCACCGCCAAATCACATTTTTATCGGTATTTCACAATTATTACATGGTGATGTTGGGATTTACCACATGTTCAAGCACACACACATATCAATAGCAAATTCTTCAAAAACTGTAGCTTGTCTGAACATTGGGTATATACCTCCCACATGGCTATTCGACTAGGAAGTAAAAGTGATTAACCAATGGTTTTACACGTGCAAAATGAAATACCCCAATGGTTGATACATTGAATACACCATTAAGGAGCTAAGAAAACAATCAAATATACCAAATCGAACACCTTCCGGGAAGGTGTTTGAACTCCCGACCCTACCTAACCTTCTGAGGTGTTTGGAAGCCTCGGGCATTGCGTAATATTTTAAATCTCAACTATCACAACTATAATATAGCAATATCTATAGATACGCCATACAACGATATGCTATCATTAATCCATATATATATATTGATATTGAACATGTTGAAACATATCCCAATTCCAATGATTGGCAAATGATATACCATTAGAATGTAGCCAATTTGGCAAGTAAATAAAGCATATCAGCCCTCACCAATAAACCATGGTTCAGTAGGGATTTACTGGCAGGACCCTTGAGAGGATGTCCATTTTTGGGGAGATGGGATTCAAACAGATTCTTTTATAACAATTGCAAACAAATCAGGATAACTATATATGCATGGTCTTAAGTATTTCAGTGTGAACATTGAGGATGACATATCTCAATGGTTGGTAAGCTAAAGCATTAAAACCTATGAGGCATACAATCAAACAATCATTGAATACTATTCTAATACCATTAAATATTGTATATTATTGCATCTTAAAATACATACTGTATCAAACATACCAGATATGCCAGCAATATATCGAAATATCACCAGACCAGTTAGATGGACAATTAGTATGGATTATTGAGTAACTATCTTAAATGCACCCCCCAGTACTTGGAGGGTCAGCCCACTTAGTAAGAGGTTAATAACCCTAGTTGGTAAGTCCCCGATTCGTAGCCTATCCCCTCTACAAATGGGCGTTTTACCCATGGCTATTAACCACTTTTACGATCCGTGGGACGATCCTCCAAGTATAGTTGTTTCCTGTCATAGTATAGTTGTTTATGGCACTATTCAAAAATAAATAAGTTTTCAATTTTCATTATGTGGGATCCCAACGCCATAAACCTACGTATCATTAGTGGGGATGGTTTATCGCACAAATACACATTTTTTTGGTACAGTTTATACTTGTAATAATGTAATGATGTATAATGGTGATTTATGGGGATGGTTCGTCAATCCACGTACCCATATAATTCATATAATATATATAGTTAATAGTTAAATGGTTCATCATCATTTAACACTAAAGAAAGACTAAAACACAATGTTTTGTTCATAGTTAATAGTTAACATCAGTTACCACAAATTAAGACTATACGTATAATTGGTGGATGCTAGTAGTTGATAGCCCATTAAGCATACTGTGGATGGAAGAATTCCTGCACCAGTTGGTACCCTGCCTGGTGCAGGATTTCTTCCATCCACAGTATGTCATTTAACATCAAATAGCACAAATTAAGACCATAGTCAAAATTCATATATGTTAATAGATGTTCATAGTTAATACTCCATTAACATCCATTAACCGTATGCCAATTAACATCAACTATTAATTAGTAACCATTATATAGTCTTAATCAATTGATAATGGCTATTATATGGGTAAACTATAATAATTCACTAACCTGAAATAAGGCCATTTTGGGATGATTCCTCTTATTAACCATGATTCCAGTGAGGGAGAACAGTGAGGTCGTTATAATTCACCCAGATCATCATAGGTGGTACAAACCATTCCCAAATGGGTAGTTTATGATTGTTTTAACCATATCATTATCCGTTAACCATTCTCCATCAACTATTACTCATAACTATTAATTATCAACCATTTTTACCCATCAACCAAATGATAATGACTATTATCCATTAAAGGGGATTTCCCTATTGGATTATTGATATGAATTGATTAAAATATGGTATTAAATCCAATATTAATATTAATATATTAGTTGATTATTAATATCATTTCCCCTATTAATATTAATATTGGATTAAGTATCTATGATTATCATAGTAATAATAGATCAATATTAAGTGGATCATAATGATACTAGATAATTAATCAATTAAATAATTATGATGATCATCTATTATCTATTATCATCATTAAGATGATCATCTATTATCTATTATCAATCTATTAATATGATCCCCAATTTTTCTGATCATCTTTCGAACTCCGCCCTTGTCCGTCCGCCGCCGCCGTCCGCCTGGCGCTCCCGGCGCTCGCGCGCCTTCACGCCGCCGCGCTTGCGGCGCTTCGCCGGATGCATCGCTGAAGGGGCGCCCGTGCCGTGCGTCCGGAGGTGGCCGGAGGTGGCCGTTGGGGAAGCGTTGAAGGTAGCTACGCGTGGTGAAAATGTAGGAAAATGTGGATTTTGTTGATGTAAATTGATGTGAAATGATGTGGAATTGAGGTAAACATGATGTTGTTAATTGGTGGACATTGATGTAAAATGATGTAACATGTGGAAACATCTTGAAACATGTGGGAAGCACATATGGAAACTTCATGAACAATCAACTGCAGGTATGGAACAAAATACGGAAAGTTATATATGTCAAAATACTCAATGATACTGTGAAATTGAGACACTTTCAATATTAAACCTCTATTCGTGAAATCATACGATTTTGGGGGGTTGGAACTTCTGCACACCATCACAACCGTCATCCAATGCTCCGTGGCTTCAATGGCAATTGTTCGTTTCTTGGGAAGGCGCAATCGTTGAATCCGGGAATCTTCGCAGTTGCGCCGGAACATGATTGAATCAAAGCCATACCATATGTGTCATGCTGGACGCCAGAAGTTACTATCTCCATATTCTGATTGGATCAAAGCACATGACATGCGCACCTTAGCCATCATGGCAATTTAGTGTCGATGTACCGATCATGCTCGGAAAATTGAGGCCACAGCATGTGGTTCTTGAAGCCAACATGTTTTGTTTTTGTGGCCTTAATTAGAGGGCCCCATTTCAGCCCCGCAATGGTGTTGCTTGTGACGTCAAAAAGGGGACTCAGCTTGAGAGGCAGGGCGATTGGACGGTTACGTTCCATCTTGAATCACTTGGATTTGCTCAAACTGGCCCTACAAATATATTATAGGATATTATAGGAATCTCCAATAGATTCATCATTCATACCCTCTGGTAAACTAACACTATGGAAAATCACCATTTTCAATGGGTAAATCCACTATAAATGTGCCATGTTCAATAGCTATGTTAGTCATTACCAGAGGGTATATTATATGCACATTTATTATAGATTCCCAAGTCCTGGTGGATTTTCAAATATTTTCCAGCAAGGTATGCAAACGAGGTGTAGAAGTGCAAGATCAAAGAAACAAGTTTGACTCTTTGAATACTGTCAGAGCTAGCAAATGCACGTGCAGGTGCATATACGTATATATATATATATTTACACATACACACACATATATATATATATACACATATGTATATATTTACATATATATATATATGTAGGTCACAGCACACTGTTTATGTAATTATATGCATCTATATGAGTATATGCGTACACGCACATGAATCTGTAGATCAGCCGAGCACATCAATATATGATATACAATGATATACACACGTTTCAATCAACCACACCAATTTAGATGAAATAGAATATACCCTCTGGTTATTTAACGTAGCTTTGGAAAAACACAATTTTTAATAGGTAAACCATCTATAAATGGGCCATGTTCATCCATTTTCCATGGCTATGTTAAATAACCCAAGGGGCCCGATGCCATGGCGTGCTGTAAACGTCAGTACATCTAGCCATCGTGGTGTGGAAAGCATCATCGCTGGGTTGAGCCCCACTTTCTGGAGACCGTGTGCGTCATGATTTCCACAGGCCTGCAGGTCAATCGGCAGATGAATATATCATAGTTCAAGTAGTTCAAGTAGTGCAAGGTTGCACCCTCCCAGACCCATAGTTTTCCCGATTGGTGGTTTACAACTGGTTGGTGGTGGAATACCTACCCAATTATGGAATAAATACCCAATCATCATAACATATGACCCCAATTATATAACATTATCTGGTTGGTCGTTTCTACCTGGCCCTCTGAAAAATGATGGAGTTCGTCAATGGGAAGGATGACATCCATTTATTAATTATGGAAAATAACGTTCATGTTTGAAACCACCAATCAGTTGCTTACTTGACTGATTGATTGAATGCTGGATTGACTGAGGAAGGGATGGATGAATACATGGATTGAAAATGATTGAATAATTCAGTGACTGAGCATTGAATAAGCGGGTAGGAGGGAGGATGGATGGACAGTAGGCAAATAAATTGATGAACACATTGAAACATGGACTGACTGACTGATCATGACGAATCAATAGACAAATGGAAAAATATCGATGGATAAATGACGAAATGAGCAAAACATATTGAGCAATCAATGCCTGCCGTGCCTGCGATCAATGGGGCTCGATAATACTTGGGAGATTTTTCCGACTGTGCTGGCGGCCAAAGGGACCCCAGGATTTTGTTCGAAGTCTCGGCATGAATTTCTATGCCCCTTTTTTTTGGGGGGAAAAACCTCATAAAGAGAAAGTAGACCTCTGCACGAAAATTAAAAACAATCAGGATGGCAGCCTGCAATCTTGATCGGAAAAAATGAATGTTGGTTTTTGGCGTACCATGCGGCTACGGGTCACAAACCTGGTACCCTCTAATTAGTTCACATCAAAATGGCTGGCATTTGTGGATGCACATCCCCCCTGGCACTAATGGAACAAACATACAGAGTTTAACAGGTTTGACTCCATCCCCGGTTAGGATGGTTGGTGGTATACCTACCCCTCTGAGCAATATTAGTCAGTTAGGATGATCATTCCCAATATATGGAAAAATAATCCAAATGTTCTAAACCACCAACCAGCATATATATATACATAGATATGTGCGTGATATATATATATATATGTATATATATATATATAATCATATAACCCAGTTAGAATTGGTGATTTTCTTGGATTCCATATATACCCAAAATCACCATACATGGATGTGATTTCAACATATATAAACTATAAACCATGCCCAGTCATGGTCGCTTTATTGCAGACAGGGTTTCCCATATATATTCTATAACTCTGGTTTATGGTATCTATAGATGTGAATTATTGTAACATAACATGCCTTAACTCTAGATCTTAGATATACATATAGATATACCATGATATACCTAACAAAAACATCCAAAAACCCATTAAAAAATCCATGAACCCATGGGATGACTGGGTACATCTTGCGACTGCACCCGACCCTTCACGATTCGCGGACGTAGGGCCCGACGCCTGGGCCTCTTTGAGGGCGAATCCTAGGACCACATGGGGATGACTGGGGATGGCGTTTTTTTGTTTAACTTATAGACTCTTAGAACCATATAGAAGCCATATAGAAAGCCATAAACATGTTGGATTTTGGGGGATGGTGTATGGCATTGGGCTTGCCACGTTAACATCATTAAGGCTGTTTTAGCATTGATGTTTTAGCCCATTGGGCTGAACATTGGCGTGATTTTCTGGTTTAGCTTTTTTTTGTTTTAATGAAACACTGTTTTACGGGACCAGCACAAGTTTTGTCACTGCAAGTAGTGACTGGTTGATAAATCCTGGGTTTACATGAGCCCAAAGTTTCGGGCACTTTTGAGCCACAGAACTTGCAGCATCTTCGAATCTTCGGTAGCCCTTTTGGGGGTCTGGCTGAATCCCAATGATGATCCTTACTGATTTTTGCACCCAAAAAATTGCCATAGCCCCAGAATTCACTGGTGATTTAAAGATACATGTTCAGCCTGACGATTCTGGTGGTTAACGGATTTAAGGCTCCCCTATGATCCCACTTGGCGCCACTTGGCTCCGGGACTGGAGCTTCCATAGCGGGAAAAGGTCACCTGGTACAGAAGAGCACGGAGATTAAGAGCTGAGGCTACGCATGACTACACTAAGGCCCAACAAAAAGGAATGAGAGCCGGAAAGAACACATGATGAGTTTTTAGCTAATCACATAACCTGTTGGATTTATATTCCCATCTTCACTTAAACTTGCCTAGCTGGTCGTTTCTACAAATGATCGTTTGTGACACATTATTTCAACATGATGTTTTCCTTTGGTGTGACATCAAGTACACCGGGGTGCACCACCAAAAACCTGCTGCAATTTGTCCAAATACCGGCTGTTGACAATATTTCATTGGTCAAGCATACAATAGGTTGAGATAGGTTCAGCGTCTGCATCAATGACCGAGCATGAAGCAAATGTGCTTGCAGAAGACAGGTCTTGATGATTTCATATGTTGTCGCACTGTACCTATTCATCAAGGTCTAAATGGCGTTGTCCAAAAATGGGGCCTACCTGCGATTCCACTTTAATGTGAACACGCTGATAGACCATGAAATTTGCGGACCATCAAAATATTGCGGGCAGTACCCCCTAATTAATCAGCTCGTTTTTTTCAATCCTGGGTTGACATGAACAATGAACATAACATCCTGTTATCGTTAATATTCATTATCGTAGATTGTTTAAGCCCATCACAAACGAAAACGCTGAAAAAAATCGTGTTGGAAAAAACAAACGTTCCCTGGTGGGCAGATTTCACCGTTGAACCCCTTCGAAATACTTCATGGTGAACACATCTACCATCTGGTTATTATGACTAACAGTTTGCCATGGAAAATCCACCCATTTTTGAGAACGGTAACCGGTAAACCATCTATTTCTATGGGCCATCTATACCATGGCTATGTAAGTCATAACCAGGTTGGGTAATTAAAAACCCATGGGTTTCTTGTGGATTTTCCCTTACATCCATTGACACATGGGAGGACATCCATGGCTCAGGCCGCACCCTCCAGAGCCAGCTGCTTTTCGGCTCGACTGAGATGGTCCCCGGTAGGGGATCTCTGATCGCTAAATAGATGAGAGAGAAATCGGTTGACATAAAGACATATTACTCCTTCAATACTTTATACATTTACATTTATATAGTTATGGCCCGAAATACCAGTTATAAGTACTTATAACCCCATTTATGGAATGAGTATATAACCCCATTTGTAACCAGTTAAAACCAATAAATTGATATAACTGGCCATAATAATTAATATAAATGGGTCTATGAAATAAAGAGAACCATCTACCGCTTCGTACTTTGAGCCCCAAAACCCATTCTCGTCAATTTTGGGGCGTTTTGGTTGACAAAACCAACGATCAATCCTCAGGAAACACTTAAATTCAGCACCATTGGATCTTGTGGGAATTTTGAAACTCAATTGAGTGAGGTCTTTAATAAATTCTTGTTGATCGTGCACATGTATCTCTACACGTATGGCTATGGGTCAAAAGCCTGATATCTAGTCATGGTCACCGGCGCGGCCCAAGCTGGGCAACTTCACTTCCAAGTCCTCGCAGGCAAGGGCAATGGGGATACCAATGGGGGGGTTCAATCAATGTAAAACCATGTCTGGAAGAAAAACACGTAAATAATCGTTTTTTTTTTTAATGTTTTATTAAATCTTATATAACTCTACTCTAAGTATGCCGGCCAATAGGAAAACATCGAAAAAGAGAAACATTAAAAATTGAAACACTTGGAACTTCCTGATAAGGTCTGCTGCAGCCCAAAGTTTCAAGTATTGGAACCATGGACGGAAAACCCAACCGAACTCCGACGCCCGATCCTCGGATTTCCCAAAGCCAACCTTCACCCATAATTTGGATCCGAAAATGTCGCCCCAAATCACCAAATCATCAAACCCACCATTGTAGTAACCCCAATGGTATCGATGAAACAACCAGTTCACCGTCCTTCATCAGCTTGGTATAACGTTCTTGAAATTCGCCGCTATCCAAGGCCAGCACCGCGGAGCCAAAGGACAGCTCCAAGGCGTCCGAGCTCTGCGAGCTCTCCCCTGACCCGGCCCAGAACTCCTGCTCCACCTCTTCGCCTTGGATGAGAGCAAAAGATGGACCAAAAGTCTGGGTTTAGGGTGATCAAACATGGCCATGATATGCTATAATCATCATAAAATCATTGAAAATCCCGATTTTGAATGGAGATTTGAAAATCATATGTAAACCGAGGAATTTCCAGGATTTTCCACTGCCATGTTTGATTACAGGAGGGTGGCCTTCAGTACATCAGGTGTTGTAAATCCACAAAAACCAATATACTATAATATGCATATGTATATATATACAATTATATACCAATGAGAAAACACTTTGGGGGAAGTGGTCAAGAATTGGTGTCTTTTCCATACCGCGCATTTGAGTTCTACCCTTTTGAACATCCACAATAGTATGCAAGCACCCACCTCCAATGTCTCCAGTTTATGACAGTGAGTTTACAACTATTCAAGGGGTTTTGTCATCTGAACATGTTGGGAAGACCACCAAATGGATCAAATTTGATGGTTTATCACAATTCTCCCTGACTCAAAAGGCCACCATTTTTGGATAAAGTAATTCCAGGTCACGATTTGGTACCCCCAAAACAACCAAAAACTGCATCCCCCTGGGGCTTAGACTTTGACCCAAGCCCATGTGTACTGTACAATGTGATACACCGTGTAAGCCAAAAGAAACGGCAATATAAACAGCTCTAAAATTGATTGGTTGTTTCATTCCATCTGAAACAGTCCTTGGCAATCATCATCCCATGGTTGAACAATCATCCACCAACGAATCCAAGTGTATGGCTGAAAGTATAGCCAGCCAGTCACAGAGCTGCAAGATTTGGGGGCCCAGTCCAGGTCCCGGTTTGAGCTCGGCCAGTTTTTGGGCCTTGCGTTCACCCAAATCCTGCAAAACCTGCAGGGCCCGGGTGGAATCCTGCTCCAAGTTCTCGGAAAGCCATGGGTTTTTGGAGCCAAGGGCTGGAGGCAAGCCGGTCTGCAAGCAGCTCCGATGCAGTTCTTGCAACTCGGATAAGCCTTGGAAAGAGTGAAGCCCAGGGCCCCAGGTTCAGTAGGGGATTTCAATTTGGCGTTTCAGAAGGCGTTTCTGTTAGGGGTTCACTAAGCACCATCCAACCACTAAACGGGGCTAATTAAGTTGAATCCCATGAAGCACGGGAAAACTGTGCTAAGGACTTGGGTTGCTGAAAAAATCATGCCCTCGCCATGGGTTTGCAAGCGTATGTTCTATAAAAGTTCCATTGTGAAGGTAGCCACGTCCACACTACAAGATGTTTCATCATGGGAGGATTCTCCGGGCGTAACATTGCCTGCCGAACATCAGTGTGGCTTGTATTGGGAAGTCTTCCAAAATGAAGTGCTTTCCTAAACAACCTGCTGCTTATTTGGGGTGACCACCTATGTATTAGCCAGTGAGGGAGCCTTCCAATCTATGGGTGCTTGAAGCATTGTACCCGCCAGTAAATTGGCATAGACCCTGCCGTGACTTGGACGTTCTCTCTCAGGTTCCACTACAAATTGGATATATTCAAGGTCTACGTTCATTGGGGGAGGGTAATTGGATAGATTTGGTTGGAATCACTGTGTGTCATGATTGTGCTACCGGGTGAACTGGATACTAATCAAATATAATCCACCTTTGCCCATCCCAGTACCCTCTGGTAAACATGGCTGGCCGGGAATGTCCTACTTTCTCATTGGACCATGGCCGTAAGCTGGGGTTTCCATCCAAAATCTCTCCATTCACCGAAGGGTGCACGAAAAGGTCTCGACGGAAAGGGGACCATCCGCCGCTTCAGATGCCAAGAATCAAACATTCAAGGCTACCCCCATTCGATTAGGGCATCTACAGGCCTACTTTATCCTACTTTTATGTTTGTAGCCGAGTTGACTGACTTAGCAAACCCAGTAGTAAGCCATAGCTCACCTGCCCAGTTTGACCTTTTGGGTCCCCAAAGAACGAAAACAAAACAGTGTCTTAACGATCGAGCTCACCATATATGTGTTTCTCTTTTTTTAGTAGTGGACCAGCCTGTTGTAGGTCTGTTGAAGTCCGTAACGCTATCCATGTTTGATCAGCATCCCCATGTAAAGAAAAAAACGTGCTGTACGAAGGTACCCCATCCAGTGTTGACCCAGTCAATGGATAGATCATAGATAACACATAGATTACAAGCGTGTACCCATTGTAAAATCAATGTTTTTGGTGGTGAGTTAAATCCCATAAATGGGCTCCAGTAACCAGTAGGTTGATTTCTCCCTGGTCCTACTTCATTGTTGATGGTTAAAACTTAAAACCCGATACATTCATAGTGAGCCCCCCCTATCTTCAAGTGGTTTCAACCCAGCCAACTGCGTAAATCACGCAAAAAAAAGCATAGTTAGGTTGAGTGAGCCCCATGCTTGATGATCGTACCCTGTTATCCCACTGTAAGATCCATTGAAATTAGATAAAATCCATAAACTCACATAAAGTCTCATCAAAATCAAACAATCCCATTAAAAAGAACACATTTTAGATCCCACAAGACTCACCATAAAAAAAAACCAATCAAAATCACAGTCACATCTCCTCACATCTCCACAAAAACCAGGCAAGATACCTTCCATCACCTCTGGCAGCCGTGCATAGGATGCCACCACTGCCTCTAAGTCCTCCGATCGCCAGCCCAAGTGCTTTGCCACGCGCAAAGCGCAAGCGCTAAGGGCGCTTGAAAGCACCAAGGGTTGATCCAGGACCTGAAGGAATCTGGGGAATGGTGGTCTAAGGGGGCTTTAGCACCAAAGATGAAGGTTTAAGTTTGAAGCATTTTTGGGGGATTTAAGATTCAACTATGATACAAGTAGGTATGAAAGTCAAAGGTTTACTTGTAGGGATCTAAGTTGGTGTTGTTCTTCCTTTGATGAAAGTGAAAGTCAATGGGTATCAACCAATCAAGGGATATCATTGAGATTTGGAGAATAGGGAACATATCAATCAAAATATGGGGATTTATTTTATTGGATTTATGTTAGCTAAATTGGTTCAACTCAAAATTCGTTGTTTCAGGGAATGGTGGTGTGGGCCCAAAACATGGGGATTTATAATACATTGTATAACTATGAACATGTGACCTTCGAACATGGAGGTCTAACCCGCCAACAAACTTGAGGAAAAAAATGGTGATGGGGGGATGAGGGTGAATTAACCAACAACATATGAAAATACTGTATCATGGGATATCTGGCGGATTTAAGCTGCAAAAACACCAAGTTGGGTTTATGGTAGATATATCGAACTAGTGTCGGTTGACAACCACATAGCATACAATGGCGGGCACTAAACTAAACCATGGGAGGATGAGCCAATGGTGGGGAGAATGGTGGTTGGCTAGTGGCTGAGGTTGGCAAGTGGTTGAGCTTTAAAGCAGAAGCACGACTTCCGAGATGATCCTTTGATCTTTAAAACCACCATTTTCTCTTTGGCAAATCCAATCAACAATCCCCAAAAGCAATGGATTGGTGATTAAACCCCTATAAAATCCCATGACATCCCTATTAAATGCCATTAAATTCCATTGAATATCCCATGTGGTTAAAACAATGTCATAAACCACCCATGACTAATGGTAAGTTTACATCACCAACATGGTGATGACTGCGGGATGGTGCAAATGGGCCTCCGCCAAGGGATCCTCCGTCTGAACCTCCTGCGCCCCCGTCAGCGCCAGCACCGTGAGCAGCTCCGCATAGACGCGCAGACACTCGGCCCGCAAGCGCCGGAAGGGCGGCAGCACATCCACCTGCGAAAAACTACCAGAACTGGCTAGGAACATATAGGAAAATAAAGGAACCATGCAGGATTTCATAGGAAAATGTCGGACAAATCATCTATAAAATGCAGGTTTATGGCTGGGAAAAGCATCGAACAAAAAGGGGGTTCCACCAGTGTTTCACCGGTGGATTGTTCACTGAGTCCTTGTAAGCAATGTCCAGCACTTTGGGTTCTGGTAAACCACCAAGCAGCAATCCAGCAGGAATTCTTGGGTTTCTCACCCATTTACGACCAGAAAACTTCAGAAGTTTGAACAGCAGAACACGTAAACAACAACACGAGCGAAAATCCATGGAAAATCCCAACAAGCCATGACATCCATGGATTTCCCATTAAAAAAAACATCAAGTTGAACTCTAAAAGCCTATGACAAACATATGGGAAATCCCATGGAAATCCCGGAAAAAACAGGTCCCACCTCGCTGGGACACTGACGCAGCCAAAGGTGGAGCAGCACCACACCACAGGAGAGCCCCAGGGCCCAGGGCCAGGCACGCCAGGAAGTCATGATGGAAGGTGGACGTTTGAAGCTGGGAATATATATATATATATATTATTATTATTATTTATATATAATGTATATTATATGCATATATTATATATGTATATTTAATATATATATATATATATTTAATGTATTATATATATAGTTGATGTAGTCTATATGGTTAATACACATAGATAATGTGTGTTGATATCGTTGTGGGACTCAATAGTGTAGTTTTCTTTTTTTTTTTTTTTAATATATATATATATATGTCATGATATGTGTGTATGTTGATTTATATTTAGTTAAACGATGGACTTTTAAAATTGTTAGTCATGAGTCATAATGGACTATTGAATAGATATATATCATATTTTTCTAGTAATGATGTTATTGTAATATAATGTTTGTTTTTGACTTTAACATACTTTAACAATGTTTGGGTGGTTTTACATATACCACTTTCTGACTGGGCATGGGTTGACTTGCAGTAGTTAAGCTGGTTTCTAAATGTGAGTCACGGAATCATGGCTTCTAAATGGTTTCTATTTCTTGAGGTAGGCTTTTCGGATTTTATGTCTTAAATATAGTGATGAACATCATTTTCAATATTATTTTCAGAGGTGTGTTATGTATGAGTTACATAATATGTGTTCACTGTTTGATACTAGTTGGCTTTAACATCATTAGTGTGAAACATTTCTTTGAAAATCAGAATAATGTCTACCCAAAAAGGGTGGCTTTAATGCTTCTCCAAAGATATTAGTACTAGGAATTTGTTGGTTCCATTGATTATCATCGATTCTATGAGGGTTTTCACAGGGTCATGCAGGCTTTGTTGAGGTCATGATCCATCCAAATCCGCACGATGAACAGTATAAGCTGCAGAGGAGCACATGGCCGAAGATCTTCCAAGTTTCCTGTTGATTTTTCCTTACGCGGATTCTAAGATAATAGATCCTTGCAAAGCGCCCCCCCAAAAGATAGCTAAGATTAGCTAAGTTGGTTTATAACTTGAACAACCATGGTTGATACTGAAAAAACTATGGTTTATAAATGTTTATAAAACTAACTATAGCACCAACATTCTAGGTATATTCTTTCCATTTGCCGAGCTTTATCCCCTCGAACCCCCGTGGCCTTCGCCCAAACAAAATGTTCGGCCCCGTGCGCGCGCCCCAGATCCGCGCCGGACTTGAATCGTTTTGATGGTGCAGCCGCTTCGGGAATCAAACATCGCCGGAAAATGCTGGAAGACCCACCAGAAACTGGCTTTTCTTGCTGGGAAAATCATGGAAAATCCAACAGTCGTCCAGTTTCATCCCCGAAATCTGTACTTCAAAACCTGTGGAAACTGCTCTATCCTCTGGCAATTTGTCACAGCTTGCGAACTGGAACATCGCTAACATCACCATTAAAATAGCTCAGACGATTCCACCATTGATATATCCCAGATAAGTAAGTCTGACTAGGGTGTATGGTAGGTAATACCCTCTGGTAATTTAACATAGCTATTGGAAATGACCATCTATAGTGGATTTTCCCATTGAACATGGTGATTTTCCATAGTTATGTTAGTTTACCAGAGGGTATGACCCATATCCTTCGGTAAATTAGCTTAGCTCATGCAAAACCAGAGGTGTACCTACTATAAATGGCCATTTTCAATAGTAATGTTAAATTACCAGAGGCTAATATATCGCACTAATATGCACTAATAACTAATAACCATGCGGTTTATAGACCGCCTTACACTGTATAAAGGGGGGCACCACATGGATTCTGGAGATTCCGGCAATGGCAGTACCACCACTCCCTGCGTTGTATTTTTTTTCGAAACACTTTGAGCACTTTAAAACTGGTTGGTGGTTGACCTATCCCTCTGAACAATATGAAAGTCAGTTGGGATGAGTATCCCATATATCATGGAAAAAAAAGTTTGAAACCACCAGCCAGTTGTGAAACATCCCGGCTGCAGAAGTGTAACATCGAGTCCTGCATAGCGGAAAAACCTGAAAAATCTCCATACCAAGTGTCTAGGATCAACAGAAAAACGATCAAAATAGCTGAGCTGATTTACAACTACAGCTAAGATTTATGCTCTGTACATCTGAGAATCTCTATAACTACTATGCATATATATATATATACATTTTTGAACTGGCATGAGCTGGCGCCCAGCCATGGACCCCTTCACTGGTCAGGGGTCCATTGGTCCGACCTCAGTGATGGTCCGCAGAGACAAAATCCCTGGCCAAACTGCTGGGTTCCCTGATGACATCCATCGAAAGCCATGGGAAAGAAACATCTGTTATCATGTTTAATGCTGTTTCATGACCAAAACATAGAAAAAGGAAGTGAGTGTGTTTTATGTTTATTTCTTCAAAGACCTATTTTCTTTTACAACCGCAATATGTAGCTCTGGTAAACAAACAGGGCGATGCCCGGGCGATGCCCCTCATCATTCATCATGACTGTTCCGAAGCCGGAACCGAACCCTTTCGGTGGATGGATGGATGGATGGATGGATGGATGGATAGATGGATGGATGGATGGATGGATGGATTAGATAGATTAGATAGATTAGATAGATTAGATAGATTAGATAGATTAGATAGATTAGATAGATTAGATAGATTAGATAGATTAGATAGATTAGATAGATTAGATAGATTAGATAGATTAGATTAGATAGATTAGACAGATTAGATAGATTAGAAAGATTAGGTAGATTAGATAGATTAGATAGATTAGATTAGATCAGATCAGATCTAATCAGATTAGATTACATTAGATTACATTAGATTGATAAAGTATCCTGTCTAGAATCACTTTATATCTTTGACCACCACAAGTTCCAGCTGCCATTTTACACTGCGCGTCGCGGGGACTTGGGCAGTGCAATGCCTCCTCTTTGGGCACGGTTTTGGAAAACTTCTCAAAAAGATTTGGGCCATCACAGGCCACTCATCTGATCAATCTGAGACGCTAAAAGATCTGAGAAGGCGAGCCAAAGAAGGAACATGCTGGCCGTGGATTGAGGCGATCAAAAGAACTATCTGTTTAGCTAGGGCGTGGCGAATACATCTGCATGAAATGTCATAAAATTGTTGCAATCAACAAGTATTAAACTTATAATTAGCATTAATTAGCCATTACCCGTGACTTTACCCCAGTTCCTCAACTTGGCTGGTTGAACCCCGTTTGTTCAGAGTTATTATGGTTTCATTTTCCCATTCCTTTCAACTACCGAGGTTCAGCCACAGCATCTTCATTTTTCTGTTCTTTAATGTTTTCTGAAAGTACAGGTGAAGGTTAAGCCTCCATATGTATGGACACATATGTCACATATACATATATATCTACAGAATTAAATATATGTCACTAATTATCCACACTAATTATCAACAACTGGCACAAGACTTCCGTAATCTTTGGCAAATGGTCGTCCTCAGGTCCGGCGGGGCCGAACGAACGGCGCCAAGAGCTGCCTCAGCGACGCGCCTCCTCCAGGGCTTTGCGGATGCGGTCCACGGAATCCTGCTCCTGCGGCTGGCGCCAATGTCGCTTGTGTTTGCTGGGTGCGAAATATCTCTAGATGAGGATCAGGATGGGATTTTTTTTTAGATATTTTGTTGTTTCTATATGTTTCTGTCCATTCTAAGCATTCCGCAAAGAATTTCCCTAACATGGGGCGATGTTCAATGGATCAATCTTTGAAAATCTGCGGGTTGTGAGCGGGCAATCCTTTAAAATATGAGGATGATGATTCTTGGAGAATCCGCCAAAATCATACGTTTTTTGTGAGTTTTTGTTCTCTTTTTTTTTCCGGCAGGGATTCCCAACTCAGATAGGTTAACAATCCCCATAGTTCATAACCAACGAACAAACCTCAACTTGTTCTCAGTCCTCTCTATGCATCTATCTACCTATCTATCTACCTATCTATCTACCTATCTATCTACCTATCTATCTACCTATCTATCTACCTATCTATCTATCTATCTATCTATCTATCTATCTATCTATCTATCTATCTATCTATCTATCATCTATCTATATATCTATCTATCCATCTATCCATCTATCCATCTATCCATCTATCCATCTATCCATCTATCCATCTATCCAACTATCCTTCTATCCATCTATCCATCTATCCACCTATCCACCTATCCACCTATCCACCTATCCACCTATCCACCTATCCACCTATCCATCTATCCATCTATCCATCTATCCATCTATCCATCCATCCATCCGATCTATCAAATCTATCGGATCCATCAAATCCATCTGATCTATCTGATCTATCTGATCTATCTGATCCATCTGATCCATCTGATCCATCTGATCTATCTGATCGATCTGATCCATCTGATCGATCTATCTGATGGATCGATGGATCGATGGATCTATGGATCGATCGATCTATCTACCTGCATCCACAGTGAAACACCCTCATTGAGGCTTAAATAATATATTTATATAATATATATATATATATATGCATGATATATATATATATATATACAGGTATTCTGATACATTCGTATTCTGTATCAGTCAATACATGCTGGTCGCAGGTGAAGTGCATCTTTGGCCCACAAAGGTTAGTCGCCGGTTCAGTACCCAACCCTGCAAAATCTTGGGGTATCTGCTGGGAAATTCACAGTTTGCATTGGACAAAACCATTGAGCCAGTTTTTGATAGTTAAGCCAGTTGAGTCCCTAATCTTGATGGTTATATCATATCTGTTATACATACACACACACCCATCCATTTTGATGTTTCGCACGCTGGCCAAGCCATCCTTCAGGTTTCCCCGCGTCCTCAGCCAGCTCCGCTTCCTGCTGCTTGGCCCAGTTCTTCAAGTTCTCCTTGACATCCTTTCCGGCCTGGGCCAAGGGATGGCCATGTGGTAAACCCTATGGATCCCTATGGTTATTTGTTTCATAGCTATGGAAGCCATGGCCGATGATTTATGATGATCTGCCTATTAAACATCGTGGTCTTCCATAGCTATCTTGAATTGCTGTGGGGCGACTTCGAACCCACTGGTTTCCCTTGGTTCTCGTAATTATGGAGTGTCACCAGGCCTGTTCGTACTCCTTGTTCCAGGAATCGAAGGCCTTCTCGGCATCAGCCTTGTTCTCAAAGACGCCCAGCAGGTAGCGATTGCCGAAGGAATCAATGGCCTGCAGTGGGGAGAAACGGTGAAGCGCCCTTTTCATTTGTTCGTATGCCTGGGTTACATTTAAAAAATCCAGTAATCATATCATACTATAATATCAAATTACTGTTTGTAAAGCAATCATGGACCACCAATATGTTGATGCTTTATGCCATTCATTTATCATCATTTATGGTATTGTAAACTTGGTGATGGCTTACTACTGCTTGATTCACACTAAATCATACTACATCATCTTTAATATATCTAAAAAAACACTATATCATCATATATAGAGAAATGCCAATGATCTACCATATAGGTCACCCAGGTGATAAAGGCACCAAGCTATCGCACGGAAAAACACACCCTTGACATGTAACACAATTGACACCATCTAGACATCTCTAGAATCCAAACATTTTCTATCTATTTTTCTAGAAATATCTATATAATCCCTCAATTCTAAGTCCCAAACCCTGCCAATATCGCTTGAAGGTTCCAAAATTCCGCCCGAGGACGACGACCAAAATCCGATCGCCTCGGACTTGTAAAGCTTCTCTGCGGTGCCCCAGCTGTGCTTGAACTCACCTGGCGACTGGCGGGCCGCCTCTTTGGCCCTTTGGCCCGCGGAAGATGTGCACTTTGCGTCTGTGAAAACTCATCCCATCTCCCTAATATTAAACACCCCCTTAGAAACCATGGTTTAGAAGGGAATTTCCACATAAGTGGGAACCAAACTATAGTTGAAAACTACTTACTTGTGCTTAGGGAATGATCCACAATAACTATCAATAATAATCCCAGCAACCCCCATTCCTATCCATTCCTTACTAAGCACCAGTAAGACTAAGCCAAGTACAAGGACAAAAACAGTTAACAGAATTCACCATCACAATGGCGGTATGTAATCAACACACCTCGAAAAACAAACGCCGGGCTGATCTGAGACAAACACATGACAACACATTAAACCATGCGGCATCAATATACCGCCCTTGCGGTATGAACACAAGAAAACCAAGGAGAAAAACATCCCAAGCAAGTCCATTTCATTCGTGTTAGGAACCAGGAACACCAGGATGTAACAAGAACACCAGGATGTAACAGGGTTTTGAACCAAAGATGCCCAGCATTCCGTCCGCTTTCCAAGCACCTTCAATGACAGCCGGCTCCTTGGCCAAGTCCACCAGCATCTCCTCATCCAAGGGAGCCACTGGGGTGTCCATGTGCTTCGGCAGCTCCTTCCAGATCTGCTTCACGATGTCGGCCTGCCATGCACCCGTCGACCCTGAAAGTCCCCAGAGACCTGGTGAAAGTGCTGCCTGTTCTTCCAGCTAGAACTACCCGGCCTGGTAAACTAACACTTTGCTGTTGAAAATCACCATTTTTAGTGGGTAAATCCGGGTAAATCAACTATTTCTATGGCCATGTTCAATAGCTTTTTGTTAGATTGCCAGGCCGGGAAGATCTTTAACCAATCTTCATAGCCCAAGTGACAAATCAAATGATGGATCAAATGTCCAGGTCCAATCAATCAAGGTATACCAAGATATATCCAACCTGATCGGTATCCCAACATCCCCAAGTCGTCAAAATTGACACGCCTGGCCTTGGTCTTGCCTGGCATGTCCTTCTGAGATCGGAAGAACTTTTTCAAACCTCTGATTCGCGCACGGTGAAGAAGCTAGGGCTGGGGAGGGTGACATCTGGAACACTCTCATCCGGATTCCATCCATCTCTTAGTCTGATCTATGTGATCCATTCGAAATCCAATTCAATCGAGCTTTATCTACTTCAATCTATCTGCATCCACTTGTTCATTGAAGATTGCACCCCCTGAAGTCAAACATGAAACCCAACAAAATTCACCCGCATTCAACTGAAATAGATTATATATGATTAATTATTATATAGCTTCACTGCGAGGTGAAGGATAGAAAACGAGTGAAACCAGGAATCAGGTTGAGGGTTGCAGAAACCATCAGAAACGACCCGGCACATCCCTCCCATTGCCCTTTGATTTTCCTTTTTTCCACAAACATCCCGCAAAAATATCCAAAAATCTCCCCAGTGCAACTGTTCTGCTCCACGCCTTCCACGTCCTTCTCCACCTCCTCGCGCTGCTTGTAGTAGTTGGCCACCAGCTCCCCAGCCTGCTTCCACCACATCTCATCCAACTCGCCGTCCGACTTGCCTTCCTTCTGAGCCTTGGTGATCTGACAGAAGTTGACCTGGTAAGGAGGATGCTCAGCACACATTTTAGTGATCCAGGATATAACTTTTGGCCAACAAAATCAACAAACCTGCATATGAACCTCAAAAAACAGCTTCGTCCAAAAAATGGAGAAGCCATGGATACCCATGATGTGTTTCCATCACGTTCCCATATCTTCCCGCGGCCGCCAGCATCCACCAGGTTGCCGCAATGCCGCCGGCGGTGGCCATCAGGTCATCGATCAGCTTGCGGGGAAGCTTCACGGCAAAGTCCTGGCTCTGGCGGGGTCTCAGGCTGTCCAAGGGGTTTTGCGGTGGCCTGCAGTCAGCAGATGTAGAGCTTCGCCCACTACGAGCGCACCGGAGCCGAAGCTTATTGATTGGCGCATCACAATGAGGGTGGTGAATCTAGAGATGGTACGAATATCATATTGCATCTATCATCATCTATCATAGTAGATAAGGATAGTAAATTAGTAAATTTACATCTAATATCTGGAACTGTGATTTGAATATTTTTGGGAAACTGGTTCCGTTCAGCATTCTTCAAGGATGGTATCTTCAGGCAGCTTATTTCAAGCTTGAGATGAATCCGTTAAGGTTTTAGGTGTTTTAAGACGGAGAAGCATAAACAACAATGGGAAAAAAACGCGTCACAAGTATAAAAAAGAAACATGAAAAGCTGGAAGGAAGCCAGCAGGAGGGTTGCATATTTGAAGAGCTTGGAGAAAAAAAACAAAACATGATGGAAAAAAAGAGAGAAACTGCAAATTGGATCAAATCCGTGTCCTTTCATCAATCATCAACATCTGCCAGAACTTGGATTCTTTCAACTTGATGGTTTGAATCTCAAACATGACCCAACAGCCTGCTGCCAAACATGGATGGTTCATGGCTTACACACAGTGTTTACACCCCAAAAACATGATCTTGAGATTGATTGCTCAGGCGATCCTCACCGGCGGCTGGGACTTTGAAGCCATCCAACATCTTCTTAATCTTGGCTGCTTCTTTGGGAGCCGAGGCATCCTGAAAAAAAGTGAACTGTTGAGGCCCCAGGGGCCCCAAGAGATCTGAAGGGATCTGAAAGCATCTGAAGGGATCTGGTGACCTGGGGAAGTTTCCCACTATGGGTGTTAAATGACTGGGTTAGAGACATGGTTCATGACCTTCTTTTTTTTGGTTCACATGACAATAAAGTGCGAGGCATACCCTTGACTGAACAACCATGGCTGATGAGTGAATCCAATCAAATCCAATGGAAAACGGTTTGTGAACATGTAAAAAGACTACTGTACAATAACCATCAATAATCTACAAGTTGGATGTTTGAGCACCAAAACAGCCCAAACCGTTTGGGACTAAGCCACATGTGAGATGAAGAGGCAGGACACTACAAACAACCATCTTGAAATGATGTTTCCAATCCCCAACAGCTTTGGACATTCCCCATTCCCAGGCATATCAGGATGAGGTCCAAAGCCCTGCTCCTCCAAAGCCTTCTTCATTTCCTCCAACTGCTTCACGTTCCTGGTGTGGTTCTCCCCATCATTGGCGAACAGGTACATCTCCTGTGGCCCAGGTGAATCTCAACCAAGGAAAATTACGTACCTATAACTCTAGGCGACATTCCACCACCACTGCCATAACTATTAACTATTAACCAGAAATGATGCAGTAGGTATCTTCCATTCACAAGCTGAAGTCCTCCAAAGGCGCGGAGTTGGGGGCGACCTCGTCCTTGTCTTCCGCCAACTTCATCTTGTCCGTGGCGAAGGACCAGCGGCGGTCGGCATCGCGGTCCACTTCAATGACCGCGCGCTTGAGGCTGAAGTCATAGGCCACCTGGTGGATGCAAAGGTCATGAACGGTCAGGGAAGGATAATTATTGGGATATTATTGAGAAACTTGGATGATGACGACGACGAAGACGATGACGATGACGATGATAATGATAGTGGTGGGCTGCAAATTATCAGAATCCATTTTGATAAAGCATGCTGACAAAGATCCTTTCTTCCCTAAGAGGATGATTCCAAAACAACCAGCCTGATTAGCCTTCTTCTGCAGGGCATCATAGTCAGGGGTCTTCATGGCGACATCCTTTTTGTAGTCCTCTCGCTCGTTGTCGAAGAACTTCTGCAAGACCTTTCCGAAGGATTCAATCTTGTCTTCTGAGACGCTCTTCTTGAACTCATCCGAAGCGCGGAACTTCTTGTTGAACTCCTGAGATTGGATGCACGCAGGTCAGGGTCAAAACACACAGTCAGCCAAGTGGCTACATGCCAGGGAAACTTATAACAACAGAACAATGCTGGTGCATTCAAACTTCAAACTCCCTTCCATAGTCACTTTCTTTTGCCAAGATGCATTCTGAGCCTGCTTCAGCAAGAGTGCCTGATCTTCCGAGCTCAAGGTCTCCTTCCAAGCATAGAAGTCGTCCTTAAATCCCCTCATGGCCACCTTGCTGCCCCTTGGGGTGGCACTGTTCATGACGAAGCCGCTCTGACTGGTCAAGGAGCTCAACATCCAGGCGCCCAGCGCCAACAGCACCATCGGGAGGAGGCTCATTGAGCGGGCCATGGCTGAGAATGAGCAATTGGACGACCGGCGGGGTGGCTGAACACAGCGCTGCAACCAGGAACAAACAAAGAGTGTGTATCAAAATGGCAACACCTCCAGAAAAAAGAAACAGGCAGGATTTGTTCACAAATGAGGCACCATTAGGACATATATATTTATATATTGTTGTTTCTCCTCCTGAGCATTCAACCATCCAATTTAGGGGTCTAGGCATTCTAATTCGAGGAAACAAAGACACAATGTTTGCTTCCAAAAATAACCCAAACTGCTTCAGAGAGGAATACCTTCTAGTAAACTGACATAGCCACACCACATTACATATTTAAAGATGATTTACCTGTTAAAAAATGCAAGTGTCAATGGCTTTATTAGATTATTCTCAGATGGCACAAGTAAAAAATGGGAAGTTGTTCTAAAGATCGCCATCCAACAGCCTGCTGGTTTCTTTTTTTGAAGCCTCCGGGCCCTGTGATTGGCTGGGAATTTCCAGCTTGGAAAAAGATCTCAAAAACTACGAGGTATACCCCGGGCAAGTGATCCGAACTGGCCATGGAAAATCGTGGAAAAATTGTCTCTCTGTTTGCCTCTGCCGCAGGTGACCTGCCTTTTTTTTTTACGTTAGGGGATTTCCCATCGCCAGCGTGGTCCCATTGCCGGAAGGTAGTTGTTGTTTTTTGTTCCGGTCTCTAATTACATTCATTATGTCACTGCCATGGTGGGGATGAGTCAAGCCTCACTATGCTTCACTCTGGCTTCGATTGGCTTCGTCTGGCAACACAAACAATGGATCTTGGCTCTTGAATAACCATGATATACACCCAGGTCAAATAGTTGAAACACGTTGAAACACACGTAAAACCCATCCTCCACTATTAAAAAAATAATAAACACAACACCATGTATCTAGAAAATTCAACTACCAAACTGTAAATCCCTATAAATCCCTATTATATAATTCAATAAAACCAATGAAACAACCCTATAACTAGATATAAATAGCCTAGCAATCCCTAACAAATCCCTATCAATTTCCTATAAAACCCCTAAACAATGGCCCATCCCCAACGCTCCGCCGCGACCCACGAACCGGTCACTGTGCTGCGAACGCTGCCTTCAGCGCAGCTCATCGCCTGGCTTCCTCCAAAGCCTTTCGGATACGATCCACGGAGTCCTGCTCCTGATCTACAGAACTCCTAAAAAACATAGGTCAACCGGGCAAAAATCGGGTGATTTCACTAAAGATAGGCATTTAAAGATGATTTAAAGATGATTTAAGCGATGATTATCATGGATTATCACGGATATATGAAGAGTATGAAGAGTGAAGTTTCAAAGAAAACATTGAGGTTTAACATGGTTTAACTAATAAACGAGGGGTGGTTGACCATTGAGAACTTGGAAGTTTTAGCATTATGCAAGTAGCATTGAGGGTCGCGCCTCTGGTAGCCAAACATGGTTGGCAATGTGGCCATGGAGAGAACATCAACCGCTCTGGACTGCGCTCTCCAAATGGATCTTGGGGCGCAACACCAACCCGCCCGCGGAACAACGACAACAACGGAGGTGTTTTGTCGGGATTTCATGAACAACAGGAAATCAAATAAATTTAGACAACAAAATGGAGATCTAAAAAAATCAAAAAAAAAACACAAAGCAGGGGATATTAGTGATATTATGTCATTTGACAAGATGTTCTTCAAAATCACACATGTTCAGTAGTATGAATCCTGATGTCCGCTGCTCCACCAGTGGTCCGTCCTCGGCAAGTTCCGCTTCCTGTTGCTTGGCCCAGTTCTTCAAGTTCTCCTTGACATCCTTTCCAGCCTGAACAGATTTGGAAAAAGCTTAAACGTACTTCAGTATTTGGAAGAATTAATTGCTGAAAAATCTGAACTTGAATAATCCAGGATGTTCTGACATGGTGCAAATGACAATCACGAAAAAACAAACCCTGGAAGAGAATTCCCTTGATGGTAGATGTGTGGATGCTTGCCAATGCCGTGCAATAGCTAGCGGAATTCACACATGTCCGGATCGTGTCAATGGCTGCAGCCCTTACATCATCCCCAAAACAGCTGGTTAGTTCATAGAATTTCCTATCTTGGGGTGAGTGCTCATCCTGTCATCCCTTTTAAACCTAGGATAAACCGAATCCTAGACACCATCATAAAGCAATAGGGCTGATCCCTGCCTGTTCGTACTCCTTGTTCCAGGAATCGAAGGCCTTCTCAGCGTCCGCCTTGTTCTCGAAGACACCCAGCAGGTATCGGTTGCCGAAGGAATCGATGGCCTCTTAAGCAGCTTGGGACTGCACCCTGTATCAATCTGTGTTGACTTTCAGAACATTTCAATATTTCATAACTACAACCTGCAGGTCACACAATTTACATGACCTCATCTATGGATATCTATGGGCCACATCACAGAAGACACCGGTTGAGCGTCATATTCCCCAGTAATTTGATAATTACCTTTGGGGTGACATCAAACATCACACAGACAGCCACATAGCAGCAAGAGAAACCAAAGCAACAACTTGTGAAATACACCCCGGGAAATAACACACAATCTTACACAGGAAAATGGATGGATATAGTGACATTGTTGTTTAGCGGATTAACCGCTTATCTGTTGGGCGGGGGTTGGGACTCCATAGCTTGATTCCGGGAGGGCAGGGCCTCATCAACCACTGATTGTCTGGACTGTTGATAGCTCCCCCCCAAAAAAAAAACCGCATCTGCATTTGCCTTGCCAGAAAACAATGCAATTTTCACTTCTAGGAGGATCAACAAAGGACCCCCGTTTCCGCTCATATTCAGGAGGCCCAGGTGCAGCTGAAATTTTCAAGGGCTGTTTGTAAAGAAACTTCAGCCCTTTGGTCACTGTGATCCACGCCATAGCTATCACTGTCCCAACGCACCTCAGACTTGTAGAGCTTCTCTGCCGTGCCCCAGCTGTGCTTGAACTCACCTGGAGCCGGATGGCCATGATTCCGTATGAGGATGTCATGGGGACTTTTAAGGTTTTTCAAGGGATTCTCTAGAGAAATAACATGATATATATATATATATTATATATATATGTGTATATAACCATCAACAATAGGGACTTGACGATCATGGCGCAAAATTCGGCCCGCGTTGATGGACAGAAGGGACCCATCCAGTGACCCAGTCATCTGCCGACTCCCATAGGCTGCAACTGGCCACCGTGACAGAAATCTGAACGTGCCATGATTGGGGCCGGGATATGATTTATATCGGGAATATATGCACCTCAGCACTTTCAGAATTCGGATTCTACAATTCAATATATATATATGTAATTTCTCAAGATGTATCATGGGGTGCAGCGTGTATCCTGCCATCCCCCAAGTCGACCTGACCTAGTCGACATGCTGCCTTTTGGGATCCCATCAGTTCCAATCTTCGCCGGTCATGTCGGTGATTTTTTTGGCCTACACCATCCTACATCGAATCTGGAATCCCAATTGTTTGTAGCCCATCCCATTTTTCATCCAATGGGGCATCTTTCAAACAAAAACTGGTTGGTGTTTTTTCGCCACCCCCCTGAAAAATATGAGTTCGTCAGATTGGATCATCATCCCAACTATTGGGGAAAATAAAAAATGTTCCAAAGCACCAACCAGGAAAAGTGGTAGGTAAAACCATGACAACCCCTACCTTTTCGAAACCCCGTGAGCCCCCGTGTGTTGGCTCCCGTTCTCGGTGGCCGCCTTCAATGACAGCCGGCTCCTTGGCCAAGTCCACCAGCATCTCCTCATCCAAGGGAGCCACTGGGGTGTCCATGTGCTTCGGCAGCTCCTTCCAGATCTGCTTCACGATATCGGCCTGAGACACCAGAGATTTGCTGTCAATTCCCGCCATAGCAGCCATCCCAGACATGTTTATAATGCCTGGCAAAAGCCAAACGTGTATTCATAAAGCACGATTAACTCACATTAACCCACCATTTCCCTTGGCACCACCAGTTCCTTGAAACAACTTCTTGATTTACGGGTTTATCACAATGTGATTGATTAAACTGGTTAAACTATACACTGCCATCGGTGCATTCATTCGTACCTTGGTTTTGCCGGGCATGTCCTTCTGAGATCGGAAGAACTTCTTCAAACCTGCCATCCGTGGTGCAGTTGAAGGGTGCAGTGTGTACGTGCACGTCAATGTTTCAAGACATGCTGCATTGCTGCATATGTTAAAATAGAAAATCAACTGAACAATACTGAAGGAAATCACAACACCAATAAGTACTATATTACTATATATATATACAAACACGACACTTGGAAACACACACATAAAAAAAGGAACTCATGACACATGACATACATCTTACATGGCACACCTGGGGAAGATTAATCCCCCAAGCAGCTCGGGCTCTGAAAACGATCCCGGCCACGAGGTGACACCACACTGAAACCGAAACCACCATGAAAATAGATCTGAACATCTAAGACATCTATCTATTGATTGTATAAACAATTTATAAAATGTGTGTGTGTATGTGTGTATATGTGTATGTGTATAGTGTATGTATATGTGTGTGTGCATGTGTGTATGTATGCGTATTTAATATAATAAAATACAATATAATATAGTATAATATAATATAATATAATATAGTATAATATAATATAATAATATATATATATATATGCGTGTATGTGTATGTGTGTATGTATGTAGGTAGATAGGTAGGTAGCTAGTTAGGTAGCTAGTTAGGTTAGTTAGATAGATAGATGGATAGATAAATAGATAACAAAAATAGATAAATAGATAGACCTCGCCCCTTCAACTGTTTTCAAATGAGTTTCGTTTTGCCACTTTAACTGAACATCTCAGCAGAATGTACAAAACTGGATACGGGTGAAACCCCAAAAAAGACCATGGCTTTGGATCTAAAACCAAGTGATGTTCAATTGTTCCACCAAACACACATCCCCCAAGAATCTCCCCAGTGTTTCACACCACACCTTCCACGTCCTTCTCCACCTCCTCGCGCTGCTTGTAGTAGTTGGCAACCAGCTCCCCAGCCTGCTTCCACCACATCTCATCCAACTCGCTGTCCGACTTGCCTTCCTTCTGAGCCTCGTAGCGTGAGCCAGTGGTGTGTGTGGCCTGCATATCAGTGTAAACTGAATCGTTTAGTGGCTTAACTCTGGTGTGCTTCCTGAAATGATTGCTACCCATGCGAGGCATATCATATTACAAGTATACACTACACACATATATATACGGCAAATGCCTGGGTTCTGCCCGGACCCGCAATGACGACGGGCGACGCATCATCATCATCATCATCAACACCATGATCATCAACATAATCATCATCATCATCATCAACATCATCAAACCCTTATTGACGATCTTCAATGAATGTAGAAGTTTAACGGGGGTGGGAGAATTAAACCCTTATTGGAGATCTTCAATGAATGTAGAAGTTTAAAAGGGGGTGGGAGAATTAAACCCTCATCGAAGATCTTCAATGAATGTAGAAGTTTAACAGAGGTGGGAGAATTAAACCCTTATTGGAGATTTTCAATGAATGTAGAAGTTTAACGGGGGTGGGAGAATTAAACCCTTATTGGAGATTTTCAATGAATGTAGAAGTTTAACGGGGGTGGGAGAATTAAACCCTGATTGAAGATCTTCAATGAATGTAGAAGTTTAACAGGGGTGGGAGAATTAAACCCTTATTGGAGATCTTCAATGAATGTAGAAGTTTAACAGGGGTGGGAGAATTAAACCCTTATTGGAGATCTTCAATGAATGTAGAAGTTAACGGGGGTGGGAGAATTAAACCCTTATTGAAGATCTTCAATGAATGTAGAAGTTTAAAAGGGGTGGGAGAATTAAACCCTTATTGAAGATCTTCAATGAATGTAGAAGTTTAACGGGGGTGGGAGAAGTAAACCCTTATTGGAGATCTTCAATGAATGTAGAAGTTTAACGGGGGTGGGAGAATTAAACCCTTATTGAAGATCTTCAATGAATGTAGAAGTTTAACTGGGGTGGGAGAATAAAACCCTTATTGAAGATCTTCAATGAATGTAGAAGCTTAAAAGGGGTGGGAGAATTAGACCCTTATTGAAGATCTTCAATGAATGTAGAAGTTTAACGGGGGTGGGAGAATGAAACCCTTATTGAAGATCTTCAATGAATGTAGAAGTTTAACGGGGGTGGGAGTTTAATATTCCCTAATATCTTTGTTGATCTTCCCAATTGAATGTAAAGTTTAACGGGGGTGGGAGTTTAATATTCCCTAATACCGTTTTTGTTTTTCCCATAGGAATTTCGGGTGTTTTGACATTTTTTTTCCCGAGAGCGCCTGCGAAGGGTTCTTCGTAAAAAAGCAGCCGTTATACTAGATCTTCACACCTTCACATCTTCACACCTTCACACCTGCAGATCTACATCTTCACACCTTCACATCTGCTGATCTACATCTTCACACCTTCACACCTGCAGATCTAGATCTTCAGACCTTCACACCTGCAGATCTAGATCTTCAGACCTTCACACCTGCAGATCTAGATCTTCACACCTTCACACCTGCAGATCTAGATCTTCACACCCTCACATCTGCAGATCTAGATCTTCACACCTTCACACCTGCAGATCCAGATCTTCACACCCTCACATCTGCAGATCGAGGGTGTGAAGATCTAGATCTGCACACCCTCACATCTGCAGATCTACATCTTCACACCCTCACACCTGCAGATCTAGATCTTCACATCCTGACACCTGCAGATCTAGATCTTCACACCCTCACATCTGCAGATCTACATCATCACACCCTCACACCTGCAGATCTAGATCTTCACACCCTCACACCTGCAGATCTAGATCTTCACACCTTCGCATCTGCAGATCGACACCTGCAGATCTAGATCTTCACACCCTCACATCTGCAGATCTACATCATCACACCCTCACACCTGCAGATCTAGATCTTCACACCCTCACACCTGCAGATCTAGATCTTCACACCTTCACATCTGAAGATCTCCTCTCGCTCTTCTTCTATTCTCTCTTAAGGCGGGGGCGGTGCCGCCGGAGCGCCACGAAACGCAACCCTTTCGCACGAAATGGACGTTGGACGTCAAAAACTGAGGAAAAATTGCGACTTTGAGTTGTCAATCGCAACCCTTTCGCACGAAATGGACGTTAGACGTCAAAAACTGAGGAAAAATTGCGACTTTGAAGCGTCGCGCGCAACCCTTTCGCACGAAATGGACGTTGGACGTCAAAAACTGAGGAAAAAAATGGGACTTTGAGGTGTCCCGCGCAACCCTTTCGCACGAAATGGACGTTGGACGTCAAAAACTGAGGAAAAATTGCGACTTTGAAGCGTCCCGCGCAACCCTTTCGCACGAAATGGACATTAGACGTCAAAAACTGAGGAAAAATTGCGACTTTGAAGCGTCGCGCGCAACCCTTTCGCACGAAATGGACGTTGGACGTCAAAAATTGAGGAAAAATTGCGACTTTGAGGTGTCCCGCGCAACCCTTTCGCACGAAATGGACGTTGGACGTCAAAAACTGAAGAAAAATTGCGACTTTGAGGTGTTAATCGCAACCCTTACGCACGAAATGGACGTTGGACGTCAAAAACTGAGGAAAAATTGCGACTTTGAGTTGTCAATCGCAACCCTTACGCACGAAATGGACGTTGGACGTCAAAAACTGAAGAAAAAATGCGACTTTGAGTTGTCAATCGCAACCCTTTCGCACGAAATGGACGTTGGACGTCAAAAACTGAGGAAAAATTGCGATGGACGCTTTCGTTTCTGTACAAGTGTCTGTGTGTGTGAAAGCGTGTGTGCGTGTGTAAAAAGCATCTGCGTGTAAAAGCGTCTGTGTGTAAAAGCGTTTGTGTGTCAACGCGTCCGTGTGTAAAAGCGTTTGTGTGTGAAAGCGTGTGTGCGTGTGTAAAACGCATCTGCGTGTAGAAGCGTCTGTGTGTAAAACCGTCTGTGTGTAAAAGCTTTTGTGTGTAAAAGCGTCTGTGTGTAAAACGCATCTGCGTGTAGAAGCGTCTGTGTGTAAAACCGTCTGTGTGTAAAAGCTTTTGTGTGTAAAAGCGTCTGTGTGTAAAAGCCTGTGTGTAAAAGCGTTGCGTCTGTGTGTAAAAAGCGTCTGTGTGTAAAAGCGTTTGTGTGTAAAGGAGTCTGTGTGTCAAAGCGTCTGTGTGTCAAAGTGTGTTTGTGTAAAAGCACCATGTGTAAAAGCGTTTGTGTGTAAAAGATTTTGTGTGTACTTTGACCGCACGACATGGAACTGTTAGAGATTGAGGGTGACAATGTTTGCTAGTGTATCTGTGCTAGGACGTGCGGAGCTTGGTACGTTGGACATCAAAAACTGAGGAAAAATTGCGATTTTACTTGGTCAATCGTAACCCTTTCGCACGAAATGGACGTTGGACGTCAAAAACTGAGGAAAAATTGCGATGGACGCTTTCGTTTCTGTACAAGTGTCTGTGTGTAAAAGCGTCTGTGTAAAAGCGTCTGTGTGTAAAAGCGTCTGTGTGTAAAAGCCTCTTTGTGTAAAAGTGTCTGTGTGTAAAAGTGTCTGTGTGTAAAAGTTTCCGTGTGTAAAAGCCTCTGTATGTAAAAGTGTCTGTGTGTAAAAGTGTCTGTGTGTAAAAGCGTTTGTGTGTAAAAACGTCTGTGTGTAAGAGTGTCTGTGTGTAAAAGCGTCTGTGTGTAAAAGGGTCTGTGTGTAAAGGAGTCTCTGTGTAAAGGCTTCTGTGTGTAAAAGCCTCTGTGTGTGAAAGTGTTTGTGTGTAAAAGCGTCTGTGTGTAAAAGTCTCTGTGCAAGCGTCCGTGTGTAAAAGCCTCTGTGCGTGTGTGTGTGTGTAAAAGAAAAGCGTGTGTGTGTGCGCGCGTGTGTGTGTAAAAGCTTCTGTCGGTAAAAGTGTCTGTGTGTAAAAATCTCTGTGTAAAAATGTGTAAAAGCTTCTGTGTGTAAGAGCGTCTGTGTGTAAAAGTGTCTGTGTGTAAAAGCGTCTGTGTGTAAAAGCGTCTGTGTGTAAAGGAGTATGTGTGTAAAAAGCTTCTGTGTAAGAGCGTCTGTGTGTAAAAGCTTCTGTGTGTAACAGCTTCTTTGTGTAAAAGCGTCTGTGTGTAAAGGAGTCTGTGTGTAAAAGCGTCTGTGTGTAAAAGCGTCTGTGTAAAAGCGTTTGTGTAAAAGTGTTTGTGTGTAAAAGTGTCTGTGTAAAAGTGTCTGTGTGCAAAAGCGTCTGTGTGTAAAAGCGTCTGTGTGTAAAAGCCTCTGTGTAATAGCCTCTGTGTGTGAAAGTGTGTGTGTGTGACATCTGAACAGATGTAAAACTTCTTCATTTCGAATGATTATATGTTTGCAGGGGCATTTTGAATGACTAGACGTTTGCAGGGGGCACCTGGAGCATGGATAGGTCAGGTGCCAACGAAGACACCTATCCAATGCTTGTGATATCACGGCTGATCACCGTGACGTACCTGCCAATTTTACTGGAATGGGAAGAGGCTCAACCCAAGAACCTCCACGTCGTCCATTTGAAATTTCAATTTACTGCACTGTTGACGCAATCTGGAATCAATTTTGACATTTACATGCATCAGAACCTTCCTCAGTTTTTCGCCGAAACCTTGTCGCCGACAGTACTTCTGGTTTTTTGGATTATTTCGCCGAAACCATGTCGCCGATGTATTTGGATTATTTTATCAACACTACAATCGCCGATTCCTTTTTGATGACGAATTTGGACATGGAAACCATTCAGGAGAACTTCTATTATTCGTAGGATGCTTCGTTAATTTCGTTGTTTCGTATCTAATCTGCATGTTTCAGGATTCAGTTCCTGCCGGATCATACAATGATCCATTCTTGTCTAGTGTGTGTGTGTGTGTAAGTGTGTGTGTGTGTAAAAGCGTCTGTGTGCAAAAAGCGTCTGTGTGTAAAAGCGTCTGTGTGTAAAGGAGTCTGTGTGTAAACGCTTCTGTGTGTGAAAGTGTTTGTGTGTAAAAGGGTGTGTGTAAAAGCGTCTGTGTGTAAAAGCGTTTGTGTAAAAGTGTTTGTGTGTAAAAGCGTCTGTGTGTAAAAGCGTCTGTGTAAAAGCGTCTGTGTGTAAGAGCGTCTGT